GACAGAGTGAGTACCCCTTCCCCCCCCAAAAAAAAATCGAAAAAAAAATTGAACGTGGTCCCCCCTGTAAATTAAAAAAAAAATCGCATGAAATGGGCCCAGTTAGCTGTGCCCGTTTTTTAGACCCCCGTCGCGAGACCCAAAGTCCCCGCCCTTCCGTGATGTTAACTACAAAAATAAAAAAGAATATACGTTCAAATATAGAAAGAAGAAGATACTTTAACTACGAATATAAAAAGAAGAAGATACGTTTCGTAAAAACGGTCATACGACTGTCCTTTGGTCAGTGGCGTTTATGCATAAAAATTGTCTTTAGAGAAAGGTCTTTACAATAGGTCTTTAAAATCATTTTGGTTAAAATAAAGTAAACTGTCGGTTAAGGTAAGGTAGATATCCTAGGTTAAGATAAGGCAACTTAATTCTTAAGTTAGGCCTAGGTATAGCTAGAGTAACATAAATGTAGAAATTTGTTATGATAAGAATATTAAGCGCCGACACAAAGAATCCGCCATTTTTTACCGGAAATTACAAGCAAATTATGGCGGGTTCTTTATGTCGGTGCCTAATAAAATGAATAGAACTAGCAAAATAGCTAACGTAAGCCTACTACAATGCAGGCTAGTGTTAGAAACAGAAGCAATAGACTAAAGTTAATGTAGAACAACAGGTATGATTAGGCTGTAGGCTACAGCAAGCTTATAATAACGTTAAAGTAAAGGTAAGGTAAAGATAACCTTAATATAGCCTTGGTCGAGGCTTATATTCTTAGGGCTTTGGGATAGGGCTTTAGGCTATAGCTTTAGGCTAGGGCTCTGGGCTAGGGCTTTGGGCTAGGGCTCTGGGTTAGGGCTTTGGGATAGGGCTTTAGGCTAGGACTCTGGGCTAGGGCTGTGGGCTAGGGCTGTGTGCTAGGGCTCTGGGATAGGGCTCTGGGCTAGGGCTTTGGGGCTAGGCTCTTGGGTAGGGCTCTGGGTTAGGGCCCTGGTCTAGGGCTCTGGGCTAGGGCTTTGGGATAAGGCTCTAGGCTAGCGCTTTAGGCTAGGGCTTTGGGCTAGGGCTCTGGGCTAGGGCTCTGGGCTAGGGCTCTGGGCTTGGACTACAAGAAGACTCTAAGTAAACCTCTAATTCTAACGTTTTTGGAAACATTTCGCCACAATTTGAGCACGTTTTCGTAATAAAAAGCACCAGATGAAGCTATAAAACTGCCTCGAGGACAACTTTGTGATTCTATTTTTAAATATGCGAAATTGCAAAATTAAAATTAGCCATGAAATAATGTTTAAAGATCAGGCTAGTCAAAACAGGCCTAAATTATGTTGTGTACCAAAAATTAAAAAAAGAATTTTATCCACCCCCAAAAAAATTTACCCCGCCCAAAATTTTTTTGTTAAAAAGTTCAATTTAGAACTGAGTTAAAAACTAAAAAAATATTTTTGTCCACCCTCCCAAAAAATTAACACGCCCCCCCCCCCCCCCCCAAAAAAATTAACACGCCCAAAAATTTTTTTAAAAAAAATTGAAATTACTATTCAAAAATCCCTACCCAGCGAATATTAATGTAAGATGTTCGCTCAAAAATAAAAGGACAGCTTATAGGAGGAAAACACATTAATATCTGCAAAATACGTCAATATGTCTCCCCTCCCCCTGTTCTCTAACACATTGCATAAATAACCGGTCGAAAGACAAATGCATATCTAAATGCTCTAAATGCCATTTTTGGTTATTCTAGACTAAAATTTTCTTCAAAATTTAAAAAAAATTTCATTTTGTGCCAGTTTAAGCCTAAAAAACTGTTATTTTTGGTCCTTTTAGGCCTATAAACCCTATTTTTCTCACAAAACCCCCATGTTTAGGTAACAAAAACCTCAAAAAACGTATCCTGCCCTAAAGACAGAATACGTGAGAATCTACAAAATCATCTGCAAGACTTCAAATTAGCCATAATTAAGTTTACAAGCCTTCAAATACCCCCTTTAAAGCCTTAAAAGTAAGTTAACATGCCCTCAACTTTGAATGTCTATGCCATCAGAAGTAGATTTTCATGCTTTCAAAACAAAATTGTCATGTCTTCTGAAGAAACACTTTAAATTACAGTCAAACGTCATGTTAACTGGAAAAAGTTGAACATCTAGAGGATTAAATTATGTTTAAAAAGGTCGCTTTTTAGCTAAAAATTTTTTTTTTTGGCGGAAAATTGGCCAAAATTTTGAAAAAAAAATGAAAAAAAAATGTTTTTGAAAGTAAAAACACCATTTTTAAAAAATGTAGGTTTAGTAAATAGTAAATATAGTCCCACCCATCAGTTTTTAAAATGGCTTGCCCAAATTTCACAAAAAAAATTTTTTTTTAAAAAAGACCCCCCCCAACTGCGTCATTTTTTACCCTACCCTACCCTACCCTACCCCACAATCACCTGCTCTACCCTATCCTACCCTACCATTATCAACCCATGCCCTACTGTATCCTACAGTATTCTTCTCACCTACTTTAGCATGATCTACCCTACCTTACTTCCACATTCCCTACTCTTCCGTAAAATGCCCTACCCTACCATGCTTTAATATACCCTACACTTTTTTTAAATTTTTTACCCTATCTGACGTTACCCTATTCAACCCTACACTACAGTATCATTCCCCCACCCTACAGTATCCGTCCCCACCCTACCCTACTTTAACACACCCTACCTTAATCATACCTTTCCACCCCCCCCTCATAAAACATAAAAAAGAAATCGTACTACACCCTCCACACCCTCAACATTCAAAAATATTACAAATCATGCCACACCCAACACCCCAAAGCCTTCTTCACTACATCAAAATTCGTCTCGGGCCCATAATTTATTCAACAATGAGCTGATTAACTTTGAGAACAAGTCAAAAGGCCTTCATAATAGGAGCACCATTAACATTGAAGACAAAAAAAGCTCAAAAGTGCTTCAGAAGGCCGAAAAACAACAACCTTTCACCCCCGTTAAGCAAAACGTCTACAACATTGTGTCGGGCGATTGTTTGCGCCCGGCGGCGGGGTAAAGAAGCGGCCCCGAGGGTGTGAAAGCAAGCTTTTTTTAAAAAGCCATATCTTGTTTAATAAAAGTAGGCTTGAAATTGGGCTTAGGCTTAAAACTAGGCTAAGGCTTAAGCTTATACGTAGCCTCAAGCTTAGGGCTAAGACTCTGGATTAGGCTTAGAATTAAGAGTAAGATTACCTTTAGGCTTTTGCTTAGGTTTAAACATAAAATTTAGGTTAGGCTTCGACATAATCTTAGGCTTGCTCGTTGGCTTAGGCTTAGAACTAAGTTTAAGATTAACATTAGGCTTAGCCATGAATTTAATTTTGAACGTGAGCTTAGGCTTATACTAAAGCTTAATGTTACCTTAAAGCTTAGCTCTTTTAACCTTAAACCTTGTCTTAGGCTTACACAAAAAACTAGGCTTATAAAGTTTAGGCTTTAGATTAAACTCTTCAATTTTGGCTTGGACATTAGTTTAAGCCCAACCTTTATAAAATTTTAAAAAAATCTACTCCTAGTTCTGAAAATTTACCCCACCCCTTTTTTTTGCCGCGTTACCTCTCAAATTAAAAAAAAGTTTTTCTCCCCCCCCTTCTCCCCTACTTTTTAAAAATCCTCCCATCCCCCTTCCTTACCTAAAAATCCTCCCCCCCCCCTCTTCCTAGCTTATAATATAATTCTTCCCCCCCCATAGTCGTTCAAATCCCCCCTGCCCACACCGCGAAAAGCCGGAGGGCGTTCCGCTCTTCCGGCTTTTCTCCCTCGTGCAAATAAAAAAGAAATTGCCGCCTGAAAAGCAGACAAGCCGAGAAAAACCCTTAGGGGGGTTTGTGGCCGAAACGGCGGCCAAAAAAAATATCACAGAGCTTGAAGAGAGCGGTCATAGAAAAAAGTGAATGCCTGAGGCGATAAACGGCAAAAGAAAGGTATAACGTTAGAGTTGAGGGTAAAACCGAAGGGACGACAGAGAAATGGCAAGCCAAAGAAAGAACATAAAAAGAATAGAAAGAAAGAAAAGAAGAAAAGCAAAAGAGAGTTGAAATAGAGAGACACCAGAAGAAAAACGAGGCCAAAAGCACCTCGTCCCTAAAGGCCTTGTTCGCTCTTTTTTTGACTTTAACAGGACGCTTTTTCAGGCCGAAAAAGCGGCCTGTTAAAGAAAATAAGAGACTGTTAATAGCTGGAGGAGTGTAAGCAATCAAGGACATTTTTTATATTATCAGGAATATAAAGATGCATAAAAATATAAAATAATATAGATGATAATAATATAAGTTTTAGTAGGCAAATAATTGCAAAACAGGCTAAAAAATAGGATCAGCAAGCTTAGGCTTTCAAGGCTTAGGTTTACTAGGCTTAACCTTAATACGCTTAAACTCGTTAGATTTATTATTAGCAGTCTATACTTAGTAGGCTTAGGCTTAGTAGGCTTAGACTTAGTAGGTTTTGGCATAGTAGAGTTAGGATTAGTAGGCTTAGTCTTAGTAGGCTTAGACTTAATAGGCTTAGGCTTAGTAGTCTTAGGCTTAGTAGGACTAGGCTTAGTAAGCTTAGGCTTAGTAGGCTTAGGCTTAGTAGGACTAGGCTTAGTAGGCTTAGGCTTAGTAGGCTTAGGCTTAGTAAGCTTAGGCTTATGGTCAGTAGGCTTAGGCTTAGTAGTCTTAAGCTCAGTAGGCTTAGGTTTAGTAGAATTGGGCTTAAAAGACTTAAGCTGAGAAAACTTAGGTTTATTAGGCATAACTTAGTAGGTTTAGGCATAGCATTTTTATGTCAAGAGACTTAAGCTTTGTAGGCTTAAGCTTAGTTAACTCAAGTTTCAGTTTTTAGTAAGCATAGGCCTAGTAGGCTTACTGTCAGACTTAATATTTCGGCTTACAATTTGTTAGTAGCTAATATAAAAAAATGTTTCTGCCTTTAAAAGTTCATGGTCCCCCCCATTTATTAAAGAAATAAAAAGCCTTCATAAAATTGACGTTGAGTTATGTTACAACTTGGTAAGCTTATTATAACATTTTTTGAACCAAAATAAAATTACAATATAAAAATATTTACTAAACTAAATGAAAAATAAATTTCGAATTGATAGCCTCCAGCCTAGTTTAGTTTCATCTAAATTCGTCACTGCCCAACCCTTTTTTATCATTTGATTTTCACGCCATAAAACCGAACAATATATCTAAATTTATGTTGGGCCATTGTCTACGTGCAGTGTAAAACAAAGACCTTAAAGGGCAATGCAAAGCGTTTTGTTTTTAAATTGTTATACACGGCACGTTACGCACGTTGTAAACTTTAAACAATAAAAAGACTTTTAAAATGAATGAAATGTAGAGTACTGTAAATATGGGTACGGTAGCAGGGCAGGGCAAAGCAGGGTAAAGCAAGGCAAGGCAAAGCAGTGCAGGGCAGGCCAGAGCAAGGCCTGGGCAAGGCCAGGGCAAGGCCAGGGCAAGGCCAGAGCAAGGCCAGGGCAAGGCCAGGGCAAGGCCAGGGCAAGGCCAGGGCAAGGCCAGGGCAAAGCCAGGGCAAGGCCAGGGCAAGGCCAGGGCAAGGCCAGGGCAAAGCCAGGGCAAGGCCAGGGCAAGGCCAGGGCAAGGCCAGGGCAAGGCCAGGGCAAGGCCAGGGCAAGGCCAGGGCAAGGCCAGGGCAAGGCCAGGGCAAGGCCAGGGCAAGGCCAGGGCAAGGCCAGGGCAAGGCCAGGGCAAGGCCAGGGCAAGGCCAGGGCAAGGCCAGGGCAAGGCCAGGGCAAGGCCAGGGCAAGGCCAGGGCAAAGCCAGGGCAAGGCCAGGGCAAGGCCAGGGCAAGGCCGGGGCAAAGCCAGGGCAAGGCCAGGGCAAAGCCAGGGCAAGGCCAGGGCAAAGCCAGGGCAAGGCCAGGGCAAAGCCAGGGCAAGGCCAGGGCAAAGCCAGGGCAAGGCCAGGGCAAAGCAAGGCAAGGCAAAGCAATGTATAGTACCGTAAGGCAAAGTAGAGTAAGGTAAGACCATAAACAATACAAATATGCCCCAACTTCCTTTTTTTCACGCCTTCCAACGGTTCAGCAACCTTTTAGTGCATAATCAAAAACTTTAACAAGAAATGACTTTAAAATTCTAAAAAGCATTCACAGCGTTCTAAAACACATTTCTGTAAACCAAAAAAACTTTATTTTGACTGCACTGTGCAATACTTTTAATTTTCTTGCACCGTGCAACAAATTTTCTTTTTTTCACTGCGCAAAATTTAGCGTATTTTAGGTAACGAATATTTTCTTAACCTTTAGCCTAGGCTAGTAAAAAGCTAAAAAGAACAACTTTTATTTTAGTCAGCTCAAAAAGAATGGCACAATGAAATATTAAAAAATTACTGCACCGTGCAAAAATAAAAATCTTTTGCACCGTGCAGTTAAATTTAAAGCTTTTAAAAAATATAGTATATATTGGCATTGTAAATAAAAATATTAACATTTTTCTTTGTTCTAAGAATAAATTTTGGCCAAAAATTCTTTGTAAAGTCTCTGATGCCGGAGGCATTCGAAAGCACTTATCCTGCCTTTAATTCCCAGCCCAAATCCCGAGGATTATGAAAAAAGTAGGTAAAAAACAATCTAAGGCGTCTTAAGAAGGCTTACAATCTTTTTTTCGCTTAGACTGGTAAAAATATTATTTCCGCTCATCGAGTTACGAAAATTATGTTATCCATAGTACATACATAGAAGTAAACGGACTAGTACGTTTGAAGGGTTAAGTGTCCTGGCTTGGCTTTCTTTGGCTTGGGTTAGCTTGGCTTGGTTTGACTTGGCTTGGCTTGACTTGTTTTGCCTTGACTTGACTTGCCTTGTTCTGCAATTTCATGCCCGCCTTCGCCTTACCCTGACCTGCCCTTGTTATGCCCCCCCCCTGCCTTGCCCAGCCCTGCCCTTGTTATACCCTGCCTTGCCTTGTCCTGCCTTGCCTTGCACCATACCCTACCCTACCCTACCCTACCCTACCCTACCCTATCCTACCCTACCCTACCCTACCCTACCCTACCCCACCCTACCCTACCCTACCCTACCCTACCCTACCCCACCCTACCCTACCCTACCCTACCCTACCCTATCATGACCTTGCTTGTCTTGTCCTACTCTATGCTTCTTTCGGTTTTACCATGCCCTACCCCACCCCCACAATCCCCATTACACGCCCAAACCCCCGATATTACTGTACAAAGTCCAACATGCTAATCTTTGCGCCGCTATTCCATCTTCGTATGTCAAATTGTCAAAAGCTACCGAGACTGAAAGGCCAGATACACCAAAAATATGCACGCTTATCGGAATAATCATCATACGTGCTTGTTTGCACGAAAAATAAAAACTTTGGAAATGGGGCTGGATTTATAATAGACGTTAAAAATAAGCCTACAAAAGTCAAATTAAGCCTAAAAATTGAAAGTTCACTTAAAATGGCAAAAAAGTATTTAAAAGAGCTTAAAATGACGTAAAGAATTTATAAATAAGTATAAAATTTTAAAAAAGATAAAATTAAGCCTAAAATTATTAAATTAAGCCTAAATTCCCAGAAAAGAAAAAAATAAGAATAAAAACCTTAAATAAACCTAAATTTATAAAAAAAACCTAAAATTAAAAGAAAAACAAATAAATAAGCCTAAAAGTTTAACATAACACTGAAACAAGAAAAAAGTTAAAATAAGCCTTGAATAATTAAAATAAACCTAAACTAACAAAAAAAAGATAAAAAAGGCTTAACCAGTGCAAAATAAGCCTAAAACAACAAAAAATCTTTATAAAACCTTAAAAATTTTATAATAAGCCTAAACGAATAAAACTATTTGAAAAAATATAAAAATAAGCCTAGAAATTTTAAAATAAACCTAAAATAAAAACCAGTATTTAAATAAGCCTAAAATGACAACCAATATTGAAATAAGCCTAAAATGTTAGACAATAATAAAACAAGCATAAAATGACAACCAAAACAAAAATAAGCCTAAAATGCCAACCAATATTAAAATAAGCCTAAAACAGTTAAAAAAAATAAAAACAAAAAAAAAATAAAAAAAAGTCCCGCCCATCTAACCTGCCTTACCTTACCCTATTATTTCCTCTGCCCTATGCTTGTTATCTTCTTATTTATATGTAATAATAAGATGATAATATCAAAAAACAAGATGTTTTCGACCAAATTCCAGGAAAACCTTTGGTTACTCGGGAAACAATAGGTGTTGTCGGATGAAATCCTGAATTATTCAAAAGTTTTTTTTGCGTTTTATCAAAGGTCTGAAGTCAAGTTTTTATTTTCTACTCAATTTCAATGGTCAAAATAAAAAAAAAATTTTTGAAAGAAAAAAGTTAGAGTAGGGTAGGTTGATATACTCAGAAATAAGGGGTCAGACGAGCACTTTTGGTTTAAGGGTGGGGATCGAAAAAATGGGCACAGGCAGGGCCGGGCGGGCACTTTTGGTTCGGGGGCAGGGAACGAAAAAATCGGCACAGGTACCACTGCCAAATTTTTGCAAACATTTTTTTTTCAAAAATCCACAGGGGGGACCACGTTCAACTTTTTTCAAAAATTTTTTTTCTGTGGGGGGAGGGAGAGGGGAGGAGAGGAGGGTACCTTCTGTCCCCCTTCGTGCCCGGCCCTGGATATACTGTAGGGTAAGGTAGAATAAGCTAGCGTTCTTATTTTATTGCACCGTGCAGAGACACCTTTAACATTAGTTTTCTGCACGGTGCAATTTTTAAATTTAAAAAAGACAAAAAAAATCGAATGTTCTATAAATTTTTGGACCTACAAAGATAAGTAAAAAATGTACCCAAAAAGAAACCCTGTCCTCACACTTATCGGGGTTTGCACTGTGCAGTAACAAAAAAAGCAAAAATTTTCTAAAATCCTTTGTTTCCACAAACTTTTTGACCGCCCATAAACCAAGTATAATATAAAAAGCTCCCACAGATCCCTATAATCATCAGAAAAGCAAATTCATTATAAAAAATATAATAAAAACGCAAGTTTTGAGCACGAAAACCGAGCAGTATCCTTTCATAAACAAGCCCTAAAAGAGAGGGGGAGAGAGTGACAGATCTATGGTTATTGTTGACGGATTAGGCTTCGCAAAATAAATTCTTAATTAAAGCCGGTCATAATGAAAATTTGAGTAAACTTGGAGAAATCTATTTTTAAACTTTTAGGCTTAAACTTGAAACGCTTTAAAAACGAATTTAAGGCCTAAAGCGAAGCCTAAATTGGTTTTTTAAGTCAGAGTTCTTTTTAGGCTTATAAAAAGTAAGATAAAGCCTAATTTTTAGTTTTTTTTGAGTTTAAGCCTATTCAAGCTTTTTAAAACCACACGCCTAATCATAACAATAAGTTTTGTTTCTAATCCATAAGCCTGCATCTAAGCCTAAAAATATTTTTTTTCCAAATTTAAAATTTTTTCGCTACCCACAGCTAAAAAAAAAGTACTTCTACCCATCCCCTCCGCTAGATAAAGAAAACAACTCACCCACCCTCACTAGCTGAATGAAACTATTCTTCTCCTCCCCCTCTTCACAGCAAGAATAATCTCTCCCCTCCCGCCCCCCCCTCCCCGCTAGGTAAAGAAAACAACCCCCACTTCCCCCTCCCCCCCCTTACCCTCACTAGCTGAATAAAACTAGCCCTCTCCTCCCCTCTTCACAGTCAAAATAATCTCTCCCCCCCCTCCCCCACACTTCACAACATAACTAAACCCGCCCCCCCCTTCCCCCCTCGTACTAATACTATAATACTAGTATTCAACACGTCCTCTCCAGTCCTGTCCTCACACTTCTCGGACCCCTGAAACTTGGCCAAATTGAATAGAAGGGAAGGGAAGAGGAGGAGACGAAGAAAGAATACTTATTATTAGGGTCTGATTTAAAACGTCATTTAAGGTTTTGCAAAAAGTTAGTGAGAGTCTTAATCCAGTTTTCATTAAATTTGGTGCAGGAAGCTTTAAATGCATAATCGTGATGCTATTTTTAGGCTTAATAAGGATGTAAAAGATTTTTTGACGGTTTTATTAGGTGCTGACATAAAGAACCCGCCATGCTTTGCCTAAAATTTTCTGTAAAAAATGACGGGTTCTTTATGTCGGCCTTAATATTAATTTTGTGTTTAAAATTAAGCCTAACCATTTTTATTTAAGTTATTGACTCAAAGTTAAGCCTAAAATTAAACCATTTATAACTTTTTAAAGCTGTAGGCCTAAACTTAAGCCTATTTTCTTAAATTTAGGTCAAATTTTGATTTTATAAATTCTAAGCTTAACATTAAGCCTGATAGCAAAGCTTCAAATTTATAAGCCTATAATTGAGCCAAAATGTTATTTTTTACACGCATAAGCCTAACATTAAGCATAATGGTTGAAATTCTAATTTTTAAGTCTAAAATTAAGCCTAATAGAAAATTTGTATAAGCCTAAAGTTAAACCTAAAGTAATTTTTTAAGATTTATAAGCTTTTCATTAAGCCTATTTTCATTTTTTTTAAACTTTAAATCTAAATTTAAGCCTAATATTAAAATTTATAAGCCTAAAGCCTTTATTTATAAGGCCTAGACGAAGCCCAATTTAAACTTCCAAACATATGCTTATACTTAAGTCTAATATTAAAGTTTCGAATTTATAAGCCTAAAATTAAGCCTAATTTAAACTTTCCAAACTTACATGCTTATACTTAAGCCTGATATTAAAGTAAATTTATAAGCCTAAAATTAATCTTAGTACCAAATTCTTAAATTTATAAGCCTCTAATCAAGCCAAATTTCAACTTTTTACACGTTTAAGCCTATACTTAAGCCTTACTTTTTTTCAATTCTTATTCAAAATTTAAGCCCAATTTCAAGACCACAAGCCTAAGCCGTACATACAAAATAAAAATGTTCGTACTCTTTTGTAGCCCTTCAAATATAACCCAAACAAATACGTTTTCTTTTTAAAAATCCCGTTTTTCCCTGGAAAAACTGTCGAAAATTGCCGGAAATGGCTTTTTGAATAATAACGGAACGTTCGACTTGTTTGGTTATTGGGCAACAGGAAACAAAAAAAGGCATTTTAGTGCCAATTAGGGATTGACTTTTATTTTTATTTCTGAAAAACAAATCTACTCCTACCTACAAAATTATTTTTGAAGAATGGCAAGAACTTTCTTTACAAACTAAAAAATGGCAAAAACTTTCTTTACAAACTAAAAAATGGCAAAAACTTTCTTTACAAAACCGAAAATGGCAAGAACTTTCTTTACAAACTAAAAAATGGCAAAAACTTTCTTTACAAAACCGAAAATGGCAAGAACTTTCTTTACAAACTAAAAAATGGCAAAAACTTTCTTTACAAACTAAAAAATGGCAAAAACTTTCTTTACAAAACCGAAAATGGCAAGAACTTTCTTTACAAACTAAAAAATGGCAAGAGCTTTCTTTACAGAGCGCAAAATGGCAAGAACTTTCTTTACAAACCAAAAAATAGCAAAAACTTTCTTTACGAAACATAGAACAGCGTAAACTTTACCGCCCATATGAAAAATTTTAAAAATCGAATCCCTTTAAAAAATATTTAAAGTCCTATCCTTTTGTAAAAAAATACTCTTTAATATTGTACCCCGCCCAAAAAAATTGTTATAAAAAATCGCTCCCAAAACAATTTTTTTTTGAAAAAAATACCACACCCTAAATTTTTTTAACAGCCAGAAATTGAAAAAAAAATAGAAACATCTAACCCGCCCCATGAAGTTTAACACGCCCACAAAAATTTTTCATAAATTTACCCCGCCCAAAAAAATTTTCTTTAAAAAAATGTTTTTTCTCCTCCTTTCCTCCTCTTATTCTTAAAAAAATTTTTAAATCTTACCCTGCCCCCATTAGCCCTACACAACCCTACTTCACTATAAACCAGCCCCTTTCCAAGCTAGACCATTATGCTGTTTATTTACACGCCTTAACTAAAATTACTCTTTTTGCTCATTGAATCCGCTTCCGAGTACTTTAGAGCGTTCTGGGAATTTCTCGGGGCAATGTCGGCGGATTTTAGGCTTAGGGTTGGTCTTCGGGCTTTGAGGATTTTCGCGTACGTGTTAATCACGTTTAAAGTGCGGGCTTCGGATGCCTTTTTAGAATGTAGGTTTGAGTTCTTGGACTAGCGGAGCGTGACTTTCCTTAGGCTAAGCCTACCATAGCATTACCGTATCTGTATCTAATCTACAGCACCGTAGCCTGCCTTAACCTACCCTATCCTACAGCACCCTACCCTACCCTACCCTACCCTACCCTACCCTACCACCCTACCCTACCCTCCCCCACATCGAAACCTAAGTCTCATAACCAAAGATTAGCCTCATCCTCTAAGGCTCAAAACTGTGCTTTAGCGCAAGCCCAAGCCTAAGCTAAAAAATAAGCCTAAGCAGGAACAGATGCCCAAGTCTAAGCCTGAACCTAAACTTAAGTCTACGCCAAATTTTAAGACTAAGCCTTAGTCTAATCCAAAAACAAAATTTACGGCTAAACCTAAGTCTCCGCATAAGCCTGAGCTGAGGCCTAAATCTACGCCAAAGCCTATCTATCTCCTACTACACATTACTGTACAATTATTTCCCTAACCCTCCCACCCTACCTGAACTTTAAGTTATCTTTTGCCATATGGTAGTATTAGGTAAACCATAATACCAAAAATTTTAAAAAAAAATTAAAAAAACACCCCTCCACCCACACTACTTAGGAATGTAACCCAATCATCACGCCGAGTACGTCGCCAATTCACGTTGCGACACGCTGCCTACGAAACGCCAAGAACAATGTCTTGGAGCACGCGATTCCGAAAGTTAAAACTAATAATGAAGATTGCTTGCAAGCCCACCCATTCCATGTTATTATGCTCTGACATTCCACGTATCATACGACATGTTATACGTATTTTGGGGGCAAATAGCATGTTAATACCAAGTTCTATGTTTAAAAAAGTTATTCTTAGTGGCCGGAAAAGTGATAAAATTTAAAAACTTGAGAATTTAAAATCGAAAAAATCCAATATTTCAAAAATTAAAAAAATTTTTTTAAATGAATTTTTCGACCGGTCGATAATTTTTCAGCCCTAATTTGAGATTTACAGCATATTAAATTGAAAAAAAACCTAAAATTTCAAAAATTGGAAAAAAAAATAAAAATAAATTTTTCGACCGGTCGATAATTTTTTTCACCCTTATTTAAGATTTACAGCACGGTAAAAAGCTAAAAAAAACCTAAGATTCCAAAAAAAGAAAGTAAAGACTACCCTACAATACCCTACCCCCTCCGTACCCTACCCTGCCCTACTTTACCCCGCCCTGCCTACCCAAAAAGTCTGCCCTTACCCTACCGCCTACTTTGAAATTCCACTCCTTTATTATACTTCTTCTACCCTACTTTCTACGTCAGAAATCCACCCCTTCCAATAGTAAAAGCAGCCATAATATCTATTCAACAAGTCCATTCCCCTCTTCCTTTTGGCTATGATTTACAACGCCATTTAACTAGCCGTTTGTAACAGACAGCTACGTCAAAATATGCCACTTATTTATCGAAATCTTTTTTAAAAACGCCAGAAATAGTTTTAAGACTTCAAAAATTTAAATTTAAAAAAAATTTTAAACTATATTCTTATTGAACAGTGCAATGATTTAAATATTTGCACCGTGCAATGACTAAATTTTGTTGCACAGTGCAGTCAATTTTGATTTTTAAACTGCGGCGTTTGAAAATTATTTTAGGTAAGAAATAGCGTTATAGCTTTTAGCCTAGACTAAGAAAAACCTATTAAAACAATTTTCAGTTCGATTGCATCAAAAAGAATGGCACAGTAAATTATTAAAAAATGACTGCACCGTGCAATTCTTAGAATCTATTGCACCGTGCAAATTAATTAAAATCTCTTGTTATCTCAAGACTTGTAAAGAAAGACTTCGCCATTTTCTGTCCTTTGAAGAAAGTTCTTGCCATTTCTTGAATTGTAAAGAAAGTTCTTGCCATTTTCCAACTTGTAAAGAAAGTTCTTACCACTCAAAGTTTAATTCCCTCCAAAAAGCGCCCCCGGCTTTTATGAAGCTAATGTTATGCCAAAAGTTGACATTTGTGCGGCCCAAAACTGGCTTAAGTGCTCCAATTAGAGAATCGACTTTGCTCGAGAATTTAATTTGGCTAAAACAAAAACAGCCCCAGGCATTACATGTTTAATTGGCGTTTAATCGCAATGATGACCTATGAAAATGGCAAGAACTTTCTTTACAGAGCCCAAAATGACAAGAACTTTCTTTACAAACTAAAAAATTGCAAAAACTTTCTTTACAAAACAAAAAATGGCAAGAACTTTCTTTACAGACTTAAAAATGAGAAAAGCTTTCTTTACAAAACACAAAATGGCAAAAACTTTCTTTCCAAAGACAAAAACCCCATCTTACCCCACCCTGCCCTACCCTAACCTTTTCCGCTTTGCCCTGCCCTACCATGTCGTACTTTGCCCTACTCTACCCTAGCCTAACCCACTTCAACCTCCCCTACCCTGATCGTACTTTGCCCTACCCCTCCACCCTTTGCCTAAATTTAGGTATGCCAACAAGAAGGCGGCCTCAAAACCAAAGAACTGGACCCTTCAATTTGGTGAATAGACTCGTAATGCTCGGGCCATTCCCTTTGGAGTCGACGAAACAGGCCCAAAATAAAACCCAAACTTGAAATGGAAACAAATTTGACTAAATCAATTTCGGATGCTCATGCAACGTGAATTTCACAAGATACAACATTCTGTTATATTACTTACATTCTGTTTTATACTGGCCGTCAGGTAGCGCAAGGACCATGGTTAACATGACAAACAGATCTGTACTGAACGTAGCTGTACCTTAATAATATGACAATCCATTTCGAAGTGATCTAAAAGCGTTAAACGATCATTTAAAATCAAAAAACATGAAGATCTCCAACAATTTTAGTGAAAAACTACTAATTTTTGACCAAACTCATCAAAAACACCATAGTTAACATAACAAAACGACTCGTATCAACAATGATTTAAACAACATCAACAAGCCAGCCATTTTTCTAGACTCCCAGCTTTCTATTTCACCGTTTACAAACAATCAATTGTAAAATACAACACGATTTCACGCGAAAACCTTCAAAATTCAACAAAAACCCATCAAAACCATGTACAAGATAGAAAACTCATAAAAGAACGCCTCAATGCCCGAAAATTAAACTTGCAATTTATTGAAAGACCTAGTTAAAACAATCTATACAATTGTACAACACCATCCGACTGTAATTCGAGTCCCTGGCGTTCAGGGACATCGGTGAAACGCCAATCGGCCGATAATCTGATCCATCTCCAGGACCGACCAATTCCAATGAGATCAACATCACATCCAACACGTACATAAACCCGTACAAACCAAACGACACCATCTTTAGTGCTCCTGAAAGTTTTATTCATTAATTTGTGAAAAAACTTAAATTTTTCATTTCGTTGGTATCTAAAATAATATCACGCGTCATTCTGCGGTTCTTTTGATCAAATTTTGTTTAAGATAACTTTCTATGTTTAAAATAAAAGCATATCCACATAATACTAAAAGCTTTTGAATAACAATTGCCGTTAAAACCACCTCTGATTAAAAAGCAACATTAAGAGTATCTAAAACAATATAAAATACAATAAAACCTTTCTTTTAATCAAAACCAACCAAACATTACTTTCTACAGCTTGTATAGAATCTTGTTATCAAATTTTACAAAGTATATGCAACCAAAGACAGTTTAAGCGCCTTTCTCATTGAAAATTATATTAATCATGACGTACCTAATGTATAATAGCCCAAATAAAATCGGTCCAAGCCCAACCATCCTCCAAACACAGCCAATAGCATTGCCGTGCTGTGATGCTTCGCATTTTCTGGTTGACAAGCATTCTGAATCACCTTCACGAACTGTTCAGTGCGATAATCCAGTTCATCACATCTCAGTCCTTGGCGAACGGTGCAATTCACTAAATTTCAAAACATAAATTAACAAAATATAAACTACCATGTAATGAACCATCTGCTTGACAATTTTTGAAGCGATAATTCGAGGAATCCAGCTCGGCGTCGTCACATTGATATCTGAAAAGAGGTTTTATATTGTTTAAAAACCAAAAAATACAGAGTTTTAGGGGTGAGAAAAGGGCCGGGCCCACTTTTAAGGCCCGGCCCAGGCCCGGGGCCCAACGTTTAGGCCCGGCCCGTTTTCAATTTTCTCTCAGGCCGGCCCGGCCCGGTCAGAAAATTTCTAGGCCCGGCCCGGCCCGTTTTAAAAAATTTTTAAAATTTTAAAACTTAAAAAATAAACGGAAATTTGGCTTTGCATTGTTCTTTTAGATCATTTATGTATCATGGTACCCAATAAAATCAAAAAACATCAACGGGGATCAAAATAAAAAATTTTTTTTTCAGGCCCAATTTTCAAGCCCGGGCCGGGCCTAACCTTTGGGCCCGGCCCGTTTCAATTTTAGCTCAAGGCCGGCCCGTTTCTCACTTCTACAGAGTTTAAGCCTGAAAAATCAATATAAAGCGATGAAATGGATAACTTACTGTCCAATTAAAAGCTCATTACATGACTTAGACGTTGATAAAGCTAATAGAAGTGAAAATACAAGGATGTACAAGATATTCATAAAATTTTTTCTTCGATTTGAATAGAAAAAGAAAGTAACTTGCCTCGGAATGCCAAGATTTTTTACGAAGAGCGAAAAATGAGCGAAAACTAACGTTCAAACAGGATTTTTTTAAATTAAAATTCAAAATACAATTAAAACAAAACTGAACATACTGTTTAGTAACTATTATAATGTTTTTAATATATAAATAGCGTTATTTTTGTTCATAATATGACCATATTTAGCGAACTTATCACCTAAACTCTTTAATATCTTCTACAAAACAAAATCCTTGCTAAAACTAACTTCAGATACAGAATCAGCGTAAACATATGGCTTAAATACAATTTTTTGACATTTATATTTATACTTTATAGCTGCGTAGTCGAGCGGAGAATGCGTTTTCCTTCCACGCAAAAGCTCTTTGGTTCGATTCCGCTTGGGTTTATCCAAATCTTTTGCCATGTTCCTTCTTTTATATGAACTACAATGTAAGCCATGTATTTTACAACCAAAAAAACAAAAAATTTAATTCTGATACGTTTGATTTACATTACAATGGATACTACTGTAGCTTGAGGGTAAGTTATTACAAATCATATTACTATTCACAATATTCGTATTCATTCCGTAGGTTTGTGGATTTATGGTGGAAATTGAGTTGATTGGTGTGTTACTAACTGTCGTTGTTCTATTGGTAGTATTGGTACACATATTAGTACTGTTTATTATTGTGCCAAAGCAATTTAGAGGATTTGAAGCGATTGTACTATAAAGTGTACCATTAACTAAAGTGCCCACATTGGTAGGGCTAAAATCTGTCTTAGTTCCATTATGGACCATATTAGTACCCATGGTACCTAGTTTTGTACTGTAATGCAAAATAGTTGTACTAGGAATAGTACTAACACTGGTACCATTACCTCTAGTAATCACGTTGGTACTGCTTGTAGGATGGTCCGTATTGGCCGGAACTCCAGTAGTGTTCATACTATGGCTAGTACCGACCGTACTAACGCTAGGAACAGTACTATTTAGACCGTTAATACTCCCAATAGTACCATTGACACCCATGGTACCGATAGTACCACAGCGGCCCATGACAGTACCATTACCGCTTGTAACAGTACTATTCCCGTTGTTAACAGCACCACTGACGTACATATAGTCTGGTACAGTGGCTGGTTGATTGACTATTTTGACAATATTACCCTCCCGATCCACGTACTGTATTTGTACCGGTTGATTACTGTGTTGAGCTTGTGATAGGTAAGTAGGTGTTGGAGTTGAAGTTGGTTGAGGTTCATGACATTTCGTCACTGTTTCAGGAATTTGAGAAGCTTTGGCCCAGTTTTTAGCACGTTCGCGGTAGGATTTCATCTCCTGAAATCAAAATTTTAATTTTTAAGATACCCTACCCCATCCTACTCTACCCTACCCTACCCTACCCTACCCTACCCTACCCTACCCTACCCTACCCTACCCTACCCTACCCCACCCTACCCTACCCTACCCTACCCTACCCTACCCTACCCTACCCTACCCTACCCTACCCTACCCTACCCTACCCCACCCTACCCTACCCTACCCTACCCTATCCTACCCTAACTTACGCTACCCAAGTATTTTTTTTTATCCTCGCCCTACCGTAATTCTACTCGATTCATGGCCCGCATTACATTGATCCACTGCCTACCGTATACTTACATCACCCTTACCTTAGACTTGCTTTATACCTAGTCATAGCCGACGCTCTAGCCTAGCCCAGAGCCTTACCCCAGAGCCCTAGCCCACAGTCCCAGCCCTCACTGTCCTGGCTTTCCCTGTTTTTCCCCGCCCAGTTCTACCTTGCTCTCCTTACCATAAACCTATTCTAGCCCTACCGAACAATTGTAAGCCATACCATAAGCTAAACTAGGTCTAATATAATTCTAGAGTAACCATTACCTCCTAGTCTTACCCTAGCGTAAATTAAAATTTTTTTTTAATTTCCCAAAATCTCCAAAATCCCTTACCATAATGTACCGTTCCTTGTCGTTCACGGCCATTTTTTCGTATTTTATACGTTCGTTTTCGTTCAAATCTTTCCAGGCACGGCCCAGTTCTTGTGCGATCTGGCCCACCTTCCAACTGGGCCATTTCGACTGGATTTGGCCACGTTTTTCGTTTGAAAAGAAGAAAAAGGCCGAGAGTGCGCGTTTTGGTGCATTTGGGTCCTTTTTGGTACGCTTTTTGCGGTGACAGCCTTCGTAGCCGGCGGCCGTTAACTCGGATTGATAACGTTCCGCGTCTCTCTGGGCCATTTCGACGAAACGACGTTTTTCATATTCATTCATGGTCTGAAAATGAAAAATTAGAAAGAACTTCTTTACAAAACAATAAATGGCAAGAACTTTCTTTACAAAACAATAAATGGCAAGAACTTTCTTTACAAATCAAAAAATGGCAAGAACTTTCTTTAAAAAACAATAAATGGCAAGAACTTTCTTTACAAAACAATAAATGGCAAGAACTTTCTTTACAAAACAATAAATGGCAAGAACTTTCTTTACAAAACAATAAATGGCAAGAACTTTCTTTACAAAACAATAAATGACAAGAAATTTCTTTACAAAACGACAAATGGCAAGAACTTTCTTTACATTTAAAAAAAATTGTCCTTGCAAGAACTTACTTTCCACTTCTCGGAACATTTTTTCGAAATTTCAGTGACCAGTATATTCTCCATCGGGAACTTCCGCTTATGTTCATCATAACACATCTTTACGAAGAACCCATAGGGCGAGGTTTTACCACGAATATTTTTAGCCGGCTGGCACGATGCCTGCCCCAAATGGAGCTGGTTGGTTGCAAATGAAGCCGTTTTGAGGGGGTGCACCGAGTTCTGAACCTAAATTAAAAATTTATATTATAGCCTAACCGACTCTACCGTATCCTAAAATACCCTACCCTACCCTGCCCTACCCTACCCTACCCTACCCTACCCTACCCTACCCTACCCTACATTACTCTACCCTACCCTACCCTATCCTACTCTACCTTACTCTAGCCTTCCCTTCCATATCCTTCCTTACCATTTTCTACCCTACCCTACCATACCATACCATACCAACCGTGCTCTATTTAACCCTGTCATACCATAATATGCCCGTGACCTACAGTAACCCCAAACTTCAAAGTAAAATTTTAAAATTTCGAAAATTTTTCAAAATTAAATTCCAAAAATAGCCTATCAAACCATGTTGAATTTCGTAAAAACGATCAAAAGATGCATTATTGTAGCGGATAATCTGACGACTAACATAACAAATAAATCATATCCACGGCATCCATAAACCCCCCCTCCTTAAAAAGATAAAAAAAATTTTGCGTTTTATCTCAAAAACAAGATAAATATGGTCGAAAAATGACTTTTGACATCAGATTTAGTTGAGTTTTCATTGTGTTATACCTAAAATGGCATGTCTTTGAGTTTTGCACAGTGCAGCCAAACCCATTGCACAAAATAGGCCATAAAGTATATATGAACAGTTCATACTATTTTACTACCCTCATATATTACTTTACAATCTTTTACCTTCCTAACAACGTAATAATCACCACTATTTTATTTCAAAATCAAAAGATATGACCAATTCACTAAACAAACTTTTGATCACCTAAAGTAATATCGAAAAAGCTTCATTCTATAAAAGTACAATATAATTTTTACTTTACTACATTTATATATTACTTTTCAATCTTTGACCTCTCTAACAACTTAAATATCATCACTTATTCACTTCAAAATCAAAAGATATGACCAATTTCCTAAAACCACCCTTGATCACCTAAAGTAATATCCAAAAACCTTCATTCCAATAAAAGTACAATACGATTTCAACTTCAACTACTGTTCGCACGTTTTCAACATAAATTTGAACCCATTGATTAGGCGCAAATCCAGGATAAAGTCCGTAAAAAACTGGGATTGAAACTTTTAACACGACCTTGACATGTTAAATCCCGAAAGAAAAACGCAAAATGGGACTTTGCCCTTAATTGAAGTTAATTTGAAGCTCACCTCAGCGAGTTTTTAACGTGAAACATCATGGACTTACTCAATTTACAATAGCATAAGTATAAATTTAGCATTAACATAAAGTATTAATAAAAAAAAACAAATTTTACATCAAAATCTATATTAACCATAACAAAATAATAACAATCAAGCTAAAACAACATTTTATCCTTGTATCCTTCGATTTCCTCGTTCTATCAACTCTTTCCCGTACTTTTCAAACAATTCGCCACCTTCTTGAAATGTTTCACTTGGCTCACGCATCGTCAACGCGATTCGTCGGCTACTGATGTGCCAGGGGAAGATGCCATGAGACCAAATGAAGCGGCTTTCATCTCGGAAACACAACAATGACCTTCTTGGCATGTGTAGAAACACTAGGGCTTTCTTTTCGTCGTGTGCAAAACACATAATCGATCCATCCAAGAGGTTCAAGCTGAAAACTTATATTAACCATGGTTTATAGAAAAAAGTTGATAATTAAAAAGTTAGTAGCAAAAAAAAACAAATCAAAGTAATCAAGAACATCAAAAATATCCCATCTCATGTAACCAAAGCTATATACAAACCGTTAACTGCTAAAAATTATGTTAACCATGACTTCTAATATCCCAAACTCAATATCTTAAGTTACACTTAAATCCAAAGCTTAAGATCCACAAAAATATAAATAAAAAACATTTATTTACCTTATTAATCTATTACCCCATATCCACATATCATCTTTGTGCAGTTCTATCCCACTTTGTCGTTCCTGGTTATATTCCAAGTTGCACAGTTCAAATGGTTGATAGCTGCCAAACTTGTCATTGTTTATCCTCCTCAGCTTATCTAGTATCAAGTCTGCATATCCAGGTAAGCCTTCGTAAAACTGTGGCCTCACTTTTTTGTGTTTAAAGTTCACTTTCGGGCCATAATCCTAAACATCAAAGTAATGGCTAAGATATTATACGAACTTACTTGTTTTCGACGCCCAGATTGAGACAACACCCATTCCTTCTTGTCAATTGCTTGAACAACGTCTTGTTCTTCATTCTCGTCCAAAAAATCTAATAACAAGTTGATCCCATCAATAGAAAAGTCCTCTGAACCTTTAGCATCGTTCGTCGCTGCTTTGATCTCCTCAACGGTTGATTGTAGCCTCAATTCCGGTCGATAATAGCATTTTCCGTCTTTGCAGACATAAACAAGATAATCCGAGAGTTTTGAAGTCTGATCTTCTGGCTTTTCTCGTAAACTCTTGACACGATCACTGTCTTTGCACGAAGCACAAAATCGAACGCCTTTGCAACCGCACGATTGGGTCATTTTATGTGGAAACAAAAAGATTTTAAAAAATCTAAATTGAAAAAAGAGGACTAGCCGTTAAACACGGTTTATGTATCAAAAAACTATATACTTTTCTAAAATACGCGAAAACGTGAAAAATTCTTCAATTTTCGCAAATAATAATTCGTTTGCTGCGGAACGCCAAGAGGTTTTAGCAATTGCAATACGTCAAGGTGGGATTTAAAAAAATGAAAATAAAACATTCAAATACGTGAAAAAACGTTATTTTAAATCAAAAAATACACAAAAATAGACGATATGTTTCAAAAATGTTTACTCAAAAACAACTAACACTTCAGAATTCTGTTAGGCGTTATCTCCGGTCGACTCCCCCCCCCCCTCGCGCCCGGCCCTGGCGACGTCCCAAAACCAACTGACGGTAAGTTTTATCAGAAGATCTTTAAAAAATAGTGTCATTGGTGGAAGAGACAAAAAGTGGGGATAAAGCGCCGGAGGGCAGGAAAAGAGGATGCGCCGCCGGGTTTCCAAGCGACAAAAATTGAAAAAAAAGGAGATTTAAAGAAAAGAGCAAATATGAGTGCCTATTTTGAATCCATTTTTCTCAAAAAGCTTTACGGCTTTCAGTGAACGCCCGGAGGGCCTGAACTTGTTCTGAACGGGGTTTCGGCCGCTTTTTCTTGGCAGTTTTTCGTTTTATGAGGTATATTTTGAGTCGGAAAGAAATTTCTTGCCATTGGTTGTTTTGTAGAGAAAGTTTTAGCCATTTTATGTTTTGTAAAAAAAGTTCTTGCCATTTTTTGTTTTGTAAGGAAAGTTCTTGCCATTTTTTGTTTTGTAAAGAAAGTTCTTGCCATTTTTCTTGTAAAGGCTACTTTTTAAATTATACAAGCTTTGCACTGTGCAAAGCTTAACTTTCCTATGCACTGTGCAGTAAATTTTATCTTACGTACCCTGCAATTTCTAAAATATTTTAGGTAGCAAATATTGCTTTTATTTTTTGTCTGGACTTACAAAAACCTACAGAAACAGATTTTATATTAATAGCTTAAAAAAGAATGGCACAGTGAATTTTTAAAATGTGCCTGCACTGTGCAATGGAAAATGTTCACTGCACTGTGCAAATAAATCAAAACCTTTTTGCGATTTTTTGTGTTGTAAAGAAAGTTTTTGCTATTTTTTGCTTTGTAAAAAAAGTTCTTGCCGTTTTTTGTTTTGTAATAAAAGTTTTTGCTATTTTAACAATTTTTATTTTTTTTTCTCTAACCACTCTCTCTTCCACTATGCTCTCTCTTATTTGCCTCGTTAATCCTTTCCGAACCAAATTTTAATTATATTTACGTTGATTTTGCGGATGTGTTTCGTTTTCTTTTGCACTTTTGCACATTGCCCATCAAATTGGTAGAAAACATTTGGTCGAACTGATAAACAAGGTTGGTTTTGGAGGGTATTTGGGGTTAAAAATGGCAAAAAATTTCTTTACAAAATATGAAATGGCAAGAACTTTCTTTACAAACCAAAAAATGGCAAGAACTTTCTTTACAAACCAAAAAATTGCAAGAACTTTCTTTACAAACCAAAAAATGACAAGAACTTTCTTTAAAAGCTATGAAATGGCAAGAACTTTCTTTACAAGGCATAAAATGGATTACAAAGCGAAAAATGGCAAAAAGTTTGTTTACAAAACAAAAAATGGCGAAAACTTTCTTTACAGGGCAAAAAATGGCAAAAACTTTCTTTACAAAGCGGACAATTGGCAAGAACTTTTTTTTACAAGATATGAAATGGCAAGAACTTTTTTTAGAGCTTATTTTGTACTTCTGGCCAAGTTGTGGCCAATTTCTATCTTCTCATACTCGAGTCAAATTGGTCTGGGTACGTTATTCTTAACGGTTTGATGACTTCGCTTCTTGTTTATTGATGACGTTAAGATGGATGGCATTCTTGTTTTGCAAAAATTATGGCACTGGGCTTTGTGAGTAGAGTAGGGTAAGATAGAGTAGAGCAGGGTAGGGTAGGGTAAAGTGGAATCGAGGGGTAGGACTAGAAAAGGGTAGTATAAGGTCGGGTCAATTAGTGTCAGATAGGGCTTTGTACAGCAAAGTACGATAAAGTACGGTAGCGTAGAGCCAGCTAGAACCAAGTAGAGTATCGTACAGTGGGGGTAAGGTAGAGAACGGTATGTTAGAGCAGAGTAAGTTAAAATATTGTCTTTTGTAAGGTAGGGTAAGGTAGAGTGGGCTAGGGCAGGACTGAGAAGACAGAGCAGGTACAAGAGGGCAAGGCACGGGAGGGCAGGGCACGAGGGGGCAGAAAAGGGAGCGGGAGAGCAGGATCGAGTACGTGAGATGAGGGCACAGAAGAGGCAGAGCAGGGTAAGGTAGGGTAGGGTAGGGTAGGGTAGGGTAGGGAAGGGTAGGGTAGGGTAGGGTAGGGTAGGACTTGTGTCTTTTTTGCAAGACTAGTAGGGGGACGATCAAAAAAATTGTTTACAATTTACATTTGAAGAACACCAATGGCCTGGGCCGGGTATTTCCGTCTTTTTGTTACCCATTGTTTGGTTTCTTGAATGGTTGGTCGGAACCGCGATAAATAATCGTGTTTTTGGGGTTTTCAGCCCTTATTTTCGGCCGTTTTGGGACTTTTGGTACATTACCAACACCGTGTTTTTAAAAATTAAAATATATGTTTCGAATTCTAGTTCTTCGTTCTTGTCAAAACTTTTGCAAAAAGATAGCAAATGGCCTGGAGGGCACGGTTTTGCGCGTTATCTGATGAAGGTTATGGTTTGGATTTGCTAGGGATGGGGAGGACTTGGTAAATAGGGAGAGAAAGAGGGGGAGATTTACTATTGCATGAAGGCGGCATGGAAATCGGCTTTAGGCTGCAGCTATACAGTAAAACTACTGTATGTCGAAGGTATCTTTAGTACTTAAGTACCACATTTTCTGGGTCCGGCCCTCCTCCTTTATACACTTAAGCTACCATGAGTCGGAGCCGATTCTGGAGCTTTTGGAAACTTTGATAACAGATAATAGACCTGAAAGAGAGAAGGAGAGAGGCTTGTTAGTAGGGTAAGATAGGGAAGGGTGGGGTAGACTAGGATATAGTAGGGTAGAGTAAAATAAGTACGGTAGGGTGGTAGTACAGTAGTATAAGATAGAGCAGGGTAAAGTACGTAGAGCACAGTAGGGTAGGATATAGGGGCATTTTAAGTTTATCTTGGGGCCAAACCAATATTGAAAGGGCCGGACTGGCAAGTTTAGATCTGAGGACTGGGCCCAAAGAATGGCCTCGGAAAGCCAAATTATGGCCATAAGTAGACACGAGAAACGAGCCGGGCCGGTCTGGAGCAAAATTTCGATTGCGGTGGGCTTAATATTCAGGCTCGGCCTGTTTCTCATGTCGAGTGCCCGGACCTTAGGGTCTAAAACAAGGCCTTAGATGCCTAAACCAAGGTCCAGAAGCACACCTTGGGTCCTGCAACGAAAGCATTGCGCAGCGTTTTATATGATGTAAAGAAAGTTCTACTTTGTGTTTTATCTACTTTTGTAAAAAACTTTAAAAAAACTTGAGATGAACTAGGCCTGACCCACGGAAAGACATGTGTATAAATTTCGCTTTGACATAAGCAAAACATGTGTATATTTCGAGGAGAACATGTACATTTTCGTACATGTACATTCCTACTTTGATGTATGTTTGTTTTTCCGGCCACAATTTGGAAAGAGTTCTCCCACCCCCCCCTTTCTTGGCTTTAAAGTGGGGGTGGCAGATGCTGGATAGGAGGGGGGACATAAGGAAAGAGGGGGGGGGGAGGGGGGGAGGAGAGAGAGAACAGGTGTATGGTGTAATAACATTTATGTAATGAGCTGGTTTTTATTCTCTACATCATGTACTTTTAAAAGTAAAAGATAACTTGTTTAAAGTGCATTTTGCTTATAAAGTGGAAAGAGGGAGTAATAAGGTAGGTGGGGGAGGGGAGAAAAGAATACTGTAGGGTTGGCAAGAGTAGGGTAGGACATGATAAAACAAGGCAGAAGAAGAATACTGTAGGATACAGTAGGGCATGGGTTGATAATTGTAGAGTAGGGCAGGGTAGGGTAGAATAGGGTAGGGTAGAGTAGGATAGGGCAGGGTAGGGTAGGGTAGGGTAGGGTAGGGTAGGGCAGGGCAGGGTAGGGTAGGGTAGGGTAGGGTAGGGTAGGGTAGGGTAGGGTAGGGTAGGGTAGGGTAGGGTAGGGTAGGGTAGGGTAGGGTAGGGTAGAGTAGGGTAGGGTAGGGTAGGGTAGGGTAGGGTAGGGTAGGGTAGGGTAGGGTAAAAAATGACGCTACAATTCGAAAAACACTTTACTTGAACTGTCAACCATCAGTCGGATTGGTATATTGGTGTTACTCTTTGAAGTGTTGTCATTTAAAAAAAGTTTAAGTGCTAGACATTTTTGGCTGATATGCAAAGGAAAAAAATAGCAAAAATTTTCTTTACAATGCAAAAAATAACAAAAACTTTTTTTTGAAAAACAAAAAATGGCAAGAACTTTCTTTACAAAACGGAATATAGCAAAAAGGTTTTGATTTATTTGCACAGTGCAATCAATATTTTCCAAGATTTAATAAACGACGTTTCTGATTATGTATAGATGTTTTTAGAGTTTATTTATTATTTTCATTTATTTCAAAACTTTAATTTAAGTTTTGAGCAACTTTTTGAATTTTTTTGAAAATTTTACAAAGTTGGTTAAAATAATTTTAATCAACTTTTTGAAAAGGTTGTTATAGAAAAGGTTTAAAAGCGTCATCTAGATAAGGACTAGGGTTGGACGCAGGGCAGGGCATTTCGGGCATTTTTTTTAAATTTCGTTTTCCCGCTAAAACTCATACCTTGAAAACTGTAATAGTTTGTTTACTTTACATATTCAAGCGTCTACAATTACAACTCGGGAGATATAGATTAGATTAGTAGTTTGACGCCGTCGATTGTAACGTACTGTGCTGATGTGCAAGGATGTTCAAGGTTCAGATGAAGACCAACGGAGCAATCCTTGAGTCTGACGTTTCCCATAATTGGGCCTCTCCCAGGTGTTTCACTGTTCCTCGCGTCACTGAGTCGTGGGTGAGGTGCTCCATAAGACTTCTGGCGTTCAAACATATACTCGTGTAGGCCAAGTATAGATGTGTCTAGTCCCCGTGCACTCAGCACTACCCATTCCTCAAGGCGCCTGTGTTGGGCGGTGCATGGGGTCGAACCAAGGTCCTTCCGAATAGCGAGCGGCGCCACAGCCACTGCGCTACCAACGCACATTTTTGTGTTTTTAGGCCTAGCCAAAAAAATTAAAAAAAAAAGCGCGCCAAAAAAAATTCAAAAACGCCCTGTTACCATGCCCGTGCCTGCCGTGCGTCTAACCCTGATAAGGACTCGAAATTTTTTTGTTATAGAAGAGTATGTTATAGGAGTTGCACTGTTCTTCTTTTGCTTTATTACCGACGCTTTTTGCGACAACGTTTTAATAGAACGTTTGATAAGAGGTCGTTATACAGTAGCTTCACTGTATACATTGGTTTTGTATTTTTCTTTTTTTTCATTTTTAACCTAAGTTTAACCTAAAATTAATACTCTTTTCTGAACCTAATCGTCCCTTCCCCCCAAACCTCATAAATTCGTATTCAAAACTTGAAGCTAATAAAAATGCAAATTAAACTGGACTAAAACGTCTTTCCACGGAAGCCCAAAATTTTTTTTTCAAAAAGCCAAATTTCGTTTAAGCGTTTTATGGCCGAATAAGACGTTTTGGGGGGCTTCTGAAGCGGCAGGCGCGTCCAACCTGTCCGTCGGAGGCGTGATGACGTCACCCATGCCCTCGGCTTTCTTCAATTTTTCGAAATTTTTGGGCCCCCAAGACTTGGGAAAGCCGGCTTTGGAACTATTGGAAAAAAAGGGGGGGGGGAAGGGTGATAGGGTGGAATGAGGAGAGAGTTGGAAGAGAGTGAAAGAGAAAGTGAGAGAGGGCGGAAAGTGGAGAGGGTGGTAGGTTGGAAAGGGGTTTAGAGAGTAAAAGGTTATCAGTTTTATTTTTTGAGATTATAATGACAGTTTTTAACAGTTGTAACATTGTTACTGTCAGCTAACGAAGATTTTTTAGGGTAGGCTAAGGTGTGGTAAGGTAGGTAATATAAAATGTTATTTTTTAGCTGGTTGTTTTGTAGGCTAGGGTAAGATAAGATAGGGTAGAGTTAGGTAAAGTCATGTAAGGTCAGGTAGAATCAGGTATTAATCAGTTATGGTAGGGTAGGGTATTGTACGATGAGTTATGGTACGGTAGAGTACGGTAGGTTAAAAGCTGATTGTTTTTTGTTTGGTAGGGTAGGGCAGGGTTGTAAGTTAGAGTGCGGCAGGGTCAGGTAGAGTCAGACAGGGGCAGGTAGGGTCAAGTGGGGTATTGTATCGTGGAGTACAATAGGGTACGGTACGGTGGAAGAGGATAGGATAAAATATACTTTTTTTTGTAGGGTAGGATAGGGTAGAGTAGGGTAAGGTAAAGTAGGGTAGGGTAGGGTAGGGTAGGTTAGGGTATAGTAGCAAAATCTAAAGCAGGGTAAGGTAGGGTAAAATTTATTTTTTGTTAGTCCAGTACAATATTAAAAAAATTCTACAAAAACTACTCTACCCCACTCCACACCACAGGTCATAAAACACGTTCGGGCCGAAAGTGCGAGTCGATTAAAGCGTGCCGTGAACGGAGACGGCAACAGACACGCAGACGCGGCCGAAGAGATTAGTACGGGCCAAACAGCGAAGAGAACGGCCAAACTTTGTTGAGGATTTCTCTCGGCGGCGGCGGTTTTTTTTTCTCCTCCGCCGCCGGCCGACCTTTTTCCTCTCCCGGGCTTTGGAGTTTGCCTCAGCTTTTTTTTCGGCCGCCGCCTTCCCACTACTTTCACTTTTTTGCGAAAGTCCGCGAATTTCTGCGCGCTCTTTCGGCCTCAGGGCTTTAGTTGTTTGTATTGTTTTCACGTGTGAGTAATTGTTTTGTAGTTATGGGATAATGAATGCGACAACCCCGGACAATTGTTTTCGAAGGCTTCCGAAACGGCACGCATACATAATTCTTGATGGCATTGATTGGAAAACATGTTTGGCTAGTTGTGAGGTAGCTAGGGAAAGGGGGGGGGGACAAAATTAAACAAAAAAAGTAGGGTAAGGGAAGATAATGTGGAATAGCGTGTAGGGCCGGGAAATCGAATACGATCAATACCGTTGCAGCAAAAATGCTTCAAAGGTAGAGGGGTAAAAGCCTAGGGTAGGGGAGGATTACACAGTCTAGGGTAAAGTAAATTAGGGGTATGGTAGGGTTGAGTAGGCTAGAGGTAGTGTTGGGTAGGGTACGGTAGAGTCGGTTAGGCTATGATATTAATTTTTTTTGAAAAATGCTTAAAGATATGATGGGAGATTAAAGATATAAAGGGGTGGGAGAGGTTTAAGGGGGGGGGGAAAGCAAAAAAATTTTTTTTCAAACAAAAATTGTAAATTTTTTGCGTTTTACTTTAAACCCCTGTATAACGAACAATTTATGAACCCCTACCCCTCTCCTTAGGGGTTCCTTATACAACAATGCCACTGTATTCGTATGAGGCCGTTAGACGATTGCACTTTAAATTCAGTGTTTGTTCAGAGTCCATTCCGTATGATATTAGACTTGGAGAAAGCCCTCAGGCACAAAAAACGAAACCTTTGCGAAAAAGAATGAATATGGGATTTATGAATGAAAGCACTTTTAAGTTTATGGGCTTTTTCCATTTTTTGTTTTGTTGGGCATGTAAATTTAAAAAAATCATTTTTGTGTCTTAAAATAAAAAAAATAAAAAAAAAATTTTTTTTTAGAGTTTAAAAGTGCAAAACCATATTTTTACAAATTTAATAAAGCGGAAAAGGTGCACAAACAAGATACGTATTAGCTTTCATATCGTTTTAGTGACCACTACTGACCAATAAGGGCTTACTATGGTTTGTACTATAAAATGAACTTTTGCTCTGTTGTGTCCATATTGTAACCAAAGCCGGGTGCTGGGGAGAATGGACGGAGACCCCCAGAAAGAAAAATTTAGAAAAAATTTGAACGTGGTCCCCCTGTGGATTTTTGGAAAAATTTTTTTAACTTTCGCCTCCAGACCAAAACTTTTGCCCGGTTATGGTTTTAACAGATTTTTTTTTGAGGGCGGTTGGGTGGGGGGGGTGGATTTTTTTTTCGTTTACAGTTGCTTGTGCACTCATTTTTCGATTTTTTTAAAAATTTTTTTAAAATTTAAAAAAAAAGTTTTAAGTAGAATGATGGATTTTTTAAAGCTTTTGGTAATATAGAGCAACTTCTGAGTAACAAATCGCTCTAGGGTTTTAAATTTGTTTGTTAGTATAAAAAAGTTTTGTTATACAGGGGTTTTGAATCTACTGTGTAATGTAAGCGTCAGAAATCAAATGGTTTTTTGTTATGCAAAGTTTTTGTTATATGGGAGTTTGTTATACAAAGGGGATACCGTGCTGGTATAGGATTACGTTAGGGTAGGATAGACTTACAGTAAAGCTAGAAATGGCCAATTTTCATTTAACTTTTTTTTTAGTTTTTGATACAGTGCTCTCTATATAGTAAACCATCTGTATAAGCAACTCTCCTTATAGTAAACAAGTAATATGGTCCCGCCAAGTCAATTTGTACTAAATAATTACTCTGTAAAGACAACACCCCTTATATTAAACACAAAAAAAGGGGGGGGAGGGGGGGGGAGACCACCCTCAGAAAAAAAAATTTCGAAATAAGTTGAACGTGGTCTTATCTGTGGATTTTTGAAAAAAAAATTTTTTCGAACACTCCCTCCTCCCCCCCCGCGCCAGGCCAAAAGAACCCACCCGGTTCTGATTACACTGTATATACATTTACTCCCTTTTTACAATAAGTTTTTGAACTTTTTGCAAATTTTACACTTGCCTCCAATTATACCTCCCATTCTTCTTCAGCTAATCATTTAAGTTAGCATACCTCTTAAGACAATCCTTTAAAATTTGCATAACGAGTCGTAATTTCAAAGTGAGAGTGCCATGTTTTGACATTTGTGTCGTTTTCTTTTGTTGGCCGGAAATCGAATTCATGTGGGAATCTTCTCGTTCGAGATTCGCTGGCGGAAATCCCGGAGGGCATGGGGCAAAAGTATTGGATGGGAAATAGGACGGGGAATGGGGAGAGTGGGTAGGGGGTTGGTTGTTTGACAGGATGAATAATATTGAAAGTAGTAGATAAAGGTTGCCTAACTTTGGGAAAATGGGGGGGAAAGAAGATTTTATGGGAGGGGGAAGGATTTGTTGGGGGGGGGGAGGAGGGGTGATTTGTTGGGGGAGGATTTGTTGGAGAGGGGGGGGAGGGGGGGGGGATTTGTTAGAGGAGGGAGGGAGGATTTTTTGGGGGAGGGGAAGGGGGGGGGGATTTGTTGAAGAGTGGGGGGGGAGGGTATGTCTTTTTTTTGTGACACACCCTCGAGGTTTAAATTGTGGCTTAAAATTACGTTATTACCCTTCTCATCTCGAACTTAAAAAATTTTTGCTCACAATATCACTGTATAAGTATAAAACTCTTGGCGTAATTTTTCAAAGGTTTGCACGTAGAAAGGCGACAAGACTTTTTGGGGCTTTAACTACAGTTGAAATTCAGCATAATGATGGTTGTTATTTTATTTTATTTATTTAACATCATCTCAACGCTATACAATTACAATTTATGTCGGTGGAATATAGATCTAATATATGTTGTTGATGCCGACGATTACATTGTAGTCCTGCGTGTATGTTCGTGGATTGATCTAGTTTTTCCTCGAGTCCACCGGAGCTATCCTTGGTTTTTTGACGTTTCCCATAATTGGGCCTCCCCCCAGCTTTCACTGTTCACCGCATCACTGTTTCGTGAGTTAGGTGCTCCATAGGACTTTTAACTTGTCTATCATACACTTGTGTTGGCCAAGTATAGATGGGCATAGTCCCCGTGCTCCTAGCACTATCCTTCCTTCAACCTAAATTTCCTCAATGCGCCTGGATTGGGCGGAGGCGGGGGTCGAACCAAGGTCCTTCCGAATAGCAAATGGCGACGCAAACACTGCGGTACCGCGCTCAAAAAAAGAAGAGTTCAGCAGGTTTATAACGAAAAAATTTCAAATCTCCCGGCGATTTGTTGTACAAGAGTTTTTTATACACGAGTTCTTTAGGCTAGCGTTCATCATAGAGGAGTTCATTATAGCGTTTTTTACAAAGAAGTGCGTTACGAGCAGTTAGTTATAGAGGTGTTTGTTATATAGAGCAGCTAGATATGGAGGTGCTTGTTACAGAGGACCTTGTTATAGAGAAGTTTGTTATACAGAGATTCGTTATACAGTTGTTCTACTGTATTCAGTAGAAGCCGGAGCGCAGAGAACCAACAACACAGCGACGAATAGAGAAAGCGACGAAAAGTCGGCGGAAAGTGGACTCGGCGGCCGAACGGGCACGAAAAAATCGGAGGGCGGCGGCGGTGGCGGATTGAAGAGGATTTGGCAGTGGAATTTGCGAAAAAGAAAAGTATGTAGATGTACGTCGTCCGGCTTTGTCTTGTTCTCTATTTTATCGTCCTTCGTGTCGGGTTTTTTTCCCGTCCCCACGGCCGACAACTCTTTTCTGTTCCTTCGACTACTTGGGGAGGGGATTTGAAGGTGAGAGGGGGATTGTAAGGTAAGAAAAAAGGGGAGGGGAAGTTTTGTCATGAGGTAACTAAGGGTTCTGAAGCAGTAGAGATAGCAAAAACTTTCTTTAAAAAACATAAAATGGCAGGAACTTTCTTTACAGCATTTAAAACGGCAAGAACTTCCTTTAAAAAAACAAAAAATAGCAAGAACTTTTTTTTACAAAACAAAAAATGGCAAGAACTTTCTTTACAAATTATAAAACGGCAAGAACTTTTAATTTATCTGCACGGTGCTAAAGATTTTCGAAATTGCACAGAGCAGTCATTTTTTAAAAAATTCACTGTGCTATTCTTTTTAAAGCTATCAAGATAAAAATTAATTTAGTAGCTTTTTATGGCTCCTAACTATAATCTATGACAAGATTTTTTTCTAAAATACGGCAGCAATTGCACTGTGATGAAAAATTAAATTTGTTGCACAGTGCAATCAATTTTTTAGATTGCACGGTGCATTCAATTTTTTAAAATTTATTGTGCCTTCTTTTTAAAGCTACGAAAGTAAAAAGTGTTTTAATAACTTTATATTATACTAAACTAAAATAAAAAATAATATTTGTTACCTAAAATACGCCAAGAATTGTACTGTGCAAAAAACAAAATTTATTGCACGGTGCAGTCATTTTTTAAGCTTTAAATAGACTAAACATTACTCACAAATCAATGCTTGTTTTGATTTGATCAATTTGCAAATCAAAACAACCACGTCGTTGTGACGTACAACCCCCCCCCCTTCCCGGCTTAATTCATTCTCACGCATTTATTTTTGTCCATTTGCTCTTGTGCATTAAATTGCAACAACGTAATGGTTTGAAATTGTGTTTCTTTTAAATTTACATTTTTCAAATTATTTATAATTATTTTTATTTAAAAAAATTAAAAACATTAATTATTAAAGACTAACTGCACCGTGCAAAATTTAACTTTTTTTGGTCTTATGTCATTTGTGGCTTACTTTAGATAACAAATGTTGTCACAGGTTTTAGTATGGACTTATAAAAGCTTACTGAAGCTGTTTTTACTTTGAAGACATTAAAAAAATGGCACAATAAATTTTTAAAAAATGACTGTACCGTCCAATTAATTTGGCTTTTTTGTACAGTGCAATTCTTTTGGTATTTTAGGTAACAAATAATGTTTCATATTTCAGTATAAAATAATATAAATTTATTAAAACACTTTTCACTTTAATGGCAATAAAAACAATGGCACACTGATTTTTTTGTAAAACGACTGCACCGTGCAACTACTTTTATTTTATTGTGTTCATGGATTTTTAGCGTATTTAGGTAACAAAGTAATTTTTATGTTTTAGTTTAGACTAGTACAAATTTATTAAAATTTGTTTTAGTATCAAGGCATTAAAAACAATGGCACAATAAATTTTTAAAAAATGACTGCACTGTGCAATCATAAAAAATCGTTTGCACTGTGCATAAAAATTCTAATTTTGACATTTTTAGCACTTTGTAAAGAAATTTCTTGCCATTTCTTGCTTTGTAAAGAAAGTTATTTCCATTTTAAATTTTTTAAAGAAAGTTCTTGCCATTTTGAAGTATGTAAAGAAAGTTCTTGCTATTTTCAACTTTGTAAAGAAAGTTTTTTTTTTCATTTTTAATTTTGTAAAGTAAGTTCTTGCTATTTCATGTTCTGTACAGAAAGTTCTAGCCATTTTTTGCTTTGTAAAGAAAGTTCTTGCCATTTTACGTTTTGTAAAGAAAGTTCTTGCCACTTGTTATTTTGTAAAGAAAGTTCTCTCATTTTTGTTGAAAAGCCCCTCGAGTCGTTCTCGAAAAGCCAAAAAGCGGCCGATTGTAGCCGTTGACATTACTTTTCTCGCGAACTACAATCTGAACAAGCGTTTTCCACGCCAAAAAAGGCGGTTATATTATCCCAAAAAGTGTTTCTCAAGTGCAAAACTATTGGAAGGGGGGGGGGGAGAGAATGGAAGGAGAGAAGGGGGAGGGGGAGAAGAAGAAGAAGGAGAATAATGCCAAGAACGCTACCATTGTTATGTTTCGTAGTTGTTTCGAACAAAAACCTTGCAATACACGCTTTCGGGCGGATATTGGACTTTTGAAGAAGGGAATTTTAAAATTTTTGAAATTTAAAACTAAACTTTTTTCAATTTTTGAAATTTTATGCTGTGTAACTCTTTTATAACAAAACCTTCGTATAATAAACAAATTTTGAAATTCTTCAGAGATGCGTCATACAGGAGGTCTACTGTAAATCAAAGTTTTTTGAACATTTTTGTCGTGTAAAGAAAGTTTTTGCCATTTTTTATAAGGCAGGGTAGTATCATTTAAGGTAAGGTAAGGTAGGGTAAGGTAAGGCAAGATATGGTTGGTCATGAAAAGGAAGGGCAGGGTAAAGCGGAGCATGCAACAGCAGAGCACAACAGGGGCAGGGCAGGGCAGGGTAGGGTAGGGTAGGGTAGGGTAGGGTAGGGTAGGGTAGGGTAGGGTAGGGTAGGGTAGGGTAGGGTAGGGTAGGGTAGGGTAGGGTAGGGTAGGGTAGGGTAGGGTAGGGTAGGGTAGGGTAGGGTAGGGTAGTGTAGGGTAGGGTAGGGTAGGGAATGACTTGTTTGTACCGATTTTCTCGCGATTTTCATACTTGTCGATTAAGAAATGGCACTTCAACCTTCATTTTTCAGAACGTTCCGCATTCACATTCAGCGTCGTGCCCGACCACCACCCATTCCGAATGCAGTTGCGCCGCGGCGACGAATGTTGAAGCGACGCAAGTGCTGAGACCGTCAACGGGGCGTGGCCCTTCCTTCAAGCAAAGCATTTTTAGTGGAGGGAGAAGCGTGCGCGACAGCCAGCTGTCTATTGTGAAACTGTCTTATCACAACAAACAAAACGAACGTCTTTCCACGAAACTGCAATAAATCTGGGATACTGTAGCGAATTTTGAACAGTATACTGTATTTTTATTTCTATAGTGTTATACGGTAATTTGGTACTGTAAGGTATAGTCAACAGTAACCTCTACACAAAAGCCCACAATATTTTCTACACAGAATTCTACAGTAACCTCGAAAAAAAAGTCTACAGTAATCTCTACCCTGCAAACCTAATCTACCATAGCCTTCCGAAGCCTTTCTAGTACCAGACTGCAGCTCAAAAGCACCCTCAAGTCATACTGTAGTAGAATAACAGCACGGTAGCCCATACTGTAGCGATTAGTTTACAGTAGATCAGCAACAACTTTACTTACAACAATCATAATGGGAGGTAGGCTACCGTTTTTAATTTTTTTTATTTTTTAGATTTAAAATGCACTTTTTGAAGCTGGAGGGGTAAATGAGGGGATGAGAGGGCGGGTTAAAAAAAGTTTAAAAACCCTTTTTTCTTTTTTGTACTGTAAAGAAAGTTCTTGCCATTTTTAGTGTTGTAAAGAAAGTTCTTGCCATTTTAAGCCTTGTAAAGAAAGTTTCTGCCGTTTTTTGTTTTGTAAAAAAAGTTCTTGTCATTTTTTGTTTTGTAAAGAAAGTTCTTGCCATTTCTTAGACTGTAAAAACACATTGCCAACTTTTCATGTCCGACCTAAGCCCGGGTCCAACTTTTGGGATCGACCGTTGTTATTTGTTCGTAAACCGGTCCGGCTTTGCCAAAGAATTCTAGGCCAGCCCGGCTTCGTAAAAAAAATTCTAGGCCGGTCCGGCTTTGTTAAAAAATTTTAGGCTGGCCCGGCTTGGTAAAAGATGTTCAAGACTTGGCCTGGATCTACTTTTTCATCTTAACCCGCGACTTGGGCCCAACTTTTAGGCCCGATCCGTTTCAACTTTAGCTTAAGGCTAACCCGTATTTTAGAATTGAGCCGGGCCTACACAGCCCCTTTCTCGCTCATAATTGACGTTTTTTGTAAACTTCTATACAAAAAGAAATGTCATACCATTTGAAAGTTTGGTTTAAACTATCAAGTGGAAGTTCAGTTTATTTTGTGATAATACAAAAAGATATTCTTCATTTCACATTTTAAACTACAAAAAGTGCAAGTTTTAACTGCTTTTTATGAAAAAAAGAAGATTTTTGGCCAAAATTTTAAGATTTTTGCAATTTTTTTATTATTGATGGGCATGTGAAAGATTAAAAGTATCTTAGCAGTAATAAAAAGTTTGTTAGAAGCACATGAACAAGGATTTTTGACCCAAATCTAAAAATTTTTGTCATGGATAATATAACTTTGATGTTGAATATCTTGGTTTCTATGTGGGATTGGGCCCTAAAAGTAATTTTTTGACAATAAGAGAGTCATTTGTGATATATAAACGTAAATTTAGCTTTGTACTAGATTTTTTTGTCATGGATAATATAACTTAGATTTTGAATATCTCGGTTTCTGTATGTGATTGGGTCCTAAAAGTAATTTTGTGGCATTAAGGGAGCTATTTTTGATATATAAACGTAAATTTAGTCTTATATTATGACTTTTTTTTGTCATGGATAATATAACTTTGACTATGGATAACATCCGTTCGAGCTTACGTTGTTCAAAAACCTTTTGAAACAGTAAAAGTTTTAGCATTTTTTATTCATATTTTTTATAATTTTAAATTTTGAAACACGATTTTTAAAAATAAAGCTAAAATTATATTATTCTTGACCTTTTTGACCATGAACAATATAATTTTAATGCCCAATCATAATAAACCCAAAACTACTTAAAACAATCACCTTCAACATCACACATGCACATACGGTTAAAATTAGCCTTTAGGGCTTGTTTTTATCGCTCTTTTCTGATACGTTTTGATCCCTTTCGACAGACTGATCAAGTGCAACTTGACTCTCGAATAAAAAATAAAAGTGCTGAGGGTTCTTTCTTTTTTTTGCGGAGAAACAAATTCCATGTAATTTCACATGGTTTTGGGTTACTTTTATCGGATTTGCGGATAAGTTACAACTGAAAACGAAACTTCAAAGATTAAAATTGGGCTGAAATTTGAGGTAACTTAAGGTTTTTCGAAAATGGAAAGAAAGTTTTCGAAAAAAATAAAAAGTTTTTTTCAAAATATAATTTTTCAAAAACTTTTACAATATATTTTTTAATTTTAATAAGGTTTTTTAAATTTTTAATGCCAAAATCAATCATTTTTCGGAGCGGATTCGAACCCATTTTGAATAATCAAGCGCACCGTTGCTTAACTTGCCAGATCGGACGGGAGCGCTTCCTCGCGTTTTCTTCGTTGGGAGAAGAACGATTGTTTGGGCCGGGTTCGAATCCGCTTGGAAGACAAGGTTGTTTTTAGCCAAATTTGGTGGTTTAAAAACTTTTAATGGGTAAAATTGTGTTTGCTATGGCAAAAAAATAGTTTTTTAATTATTTTTTAAAAAATAATATTAAAAATCTTGGCAAAAGTTACTTGAAAAATTTAATTTTAAAGCATTTTTATGCCTTTTTTAAGTCAAATTTGTTAAATTTTTTTTCTTTTTTAACATCAAATCCACTGAAAATTCTTTATTTTGCCATTTCAAGCTATTCCAATCTATAATTGATCAAAATTTTAGTTGAAGATTCCCCATCCGCGTCCTCATCGTCGTCGCACGTGATCACGAATCACTTGGCTACCACCAACGCTTCGCCGATGCGGTCGCTTTCAAGTGCCTCCGGCGGTTTGTACATAAGCGCACCGGGGAAAATCATATTGTTTGGCGAGCACGCTGTTGTTTATGGGAAAGTGAGTGTTTTGCCATACCTTATTCTACCCCCATCTTACTTCATCGTACCCTACCCTACTCTAACCTACTTTACTTTACCCTACCTTAGCCTACCTTATCCTACTTTTCCCTACCCTATCCTGCCCAAAAGTTTAAGCATGACCTTTTACAGACTGCCATTGCGGGCTCGATTGACCTGCGCACGTATGTGTCACTGTTTACCTCGGCGGACGGACGAATATACCTCTCATTGCCTGATTTGCAAGTCGAACGAACCTGGATGTTGAAGGATTTGCTTAAAGCCGGCGAACGATTAGCAAGTGAGTTGGACTAAGCTTGTTTTATATTAGTTTGTACTCTTATTCTCAAGTAAAATCGCTGTGGGACCTAGGTTTGAAAGGAGTTCCACTAGACTTGGCTTTGAAACTTGAAAAGGGCAGGCTAGGCTCCTGCCCTGGGGCTCACTAGGCCTTAGACCTTGCTCTGGGACATGAAAAGAAACTTAGTCATAGCCTTTTCTGTAGGATGTGAAAGAGGACCCACTAGGCCCGGTTTTGCCTTGAGGATCTATAAATTTAATTTTTGGCGGGAAAAATGAAATTTAAATTTAAAAAAAATTTTTTTTTGAAATTTAAAAGTTTTAAGTTTTTTAAAGTTTGACCAAGATTTAGAAGATGTAAAACACAAAAACTCATCATTTTAGCTAGGTTTGTCACATAGTTTAAGCTTCTTTAACAAATCATGAAAATTTGAATTTTTATTTTCCCACCAAAACTTAAAGTCTTTAAAATCGAGGTTTAAATATAAAACTTTAGTTACAAAATGACGTTTTAAGTAAAGGTGAAAAATATTTTTCTATTTCAAGCTTTTAAAATTTTAAATATGCATTTTCCCGCCAAAACTTAAAATTTTCAAAAATTATTAAATTTAATCAAAATATGAAGAAAAAACACAGCGTAGCCATGTGACAAACTCTGATATTCCAAAAGCCCCGTATAACTAATACAATTGCAGCTGAATGTCCGCTGAACGACGACGGCCCGCCGTCCTTGGAACTGATCGTGCCGATCGCGCGCAAACTCTCCGGCGCCTGCGAAGACCAGTGCGGCGTTCAACACTTGGCCATTCTCGCATTTTGGTATTTGCTCATTGGAATTGTTCAACGAAAACGGTACGTTCTTTCAGATGGCATTCGGTTTTTATCGATATTTTTACGTTTTTCACATTTCTAGCGCTTTTTGTCTTTTCTAGGGGATTTGTACAAACTTTTGCAATAATGTCTTTATTGGGCTTAATAAGGGGGCTCACTAGGCTTAATCGCAGGCCGAGCAAACTCAAATTTTAAATCAGCTGGGTCGGGCCGAACCCCACTTGAAAGTGGCTGGCCAGACCTGGCGGGCCTAGGGCTTAGAGTGTGCAATTAGACTTAAAAGTGGCCTCAATTAGACATAAAAGGGGCCTCACTATGCCCTATGTGGTCGTGGGCCGTGTAGGGCCAAACAAAAAAAAATTTCAAATTGGCCGGGACGAATTGTACAAGCTTTAGGGCTGTTTATAAAGAAGACCCCAAGGACCCGGCTCAGGGCCTGCAACTAGGCCTGAAAGGCAACCCACTAGGCTCAGTCTGGTCTTGGGTTGAGTTGATTCAGGATAAAAAATTTGAATATGGTTGGCTTGGGCTGGATCGTATGGGCCCGAAATTAGGGACTAAATGAAGGTCTTAGAGACGCAACTTAGGTCTTACAACGAAAGATTTTACTGGTTAAAATTGTAAAAAGGTCAAAGCAAACTTGAAAAGCGCTAGGACGACAAATCCGAGCCTGAGGCTTAGGGCCCAGACCAAGTCCCGGGTCTTGACAAAACAGTGGACCTGTTCCGGTCTCCTTACAAGTCTACTCTTAGCTAGTTATTAAGTTATTATATATTATATGTTGCGTCTTTGGTTTATTGCACCGTGTCGTAGTAGTAATCACAACATTATGATGTTCAACTATTTATTTTTTTTAGGTCAAAAGTCTGTGTTCATTTTTGGTTAAACAGGGCTAATCTTTTCACTGTTTTGTGTAATTTATAAAATCTTTAGGCTTGCTTTTATTAAACTTGTCTTCTGTTTAACAAGTACCAAACCCGCTCCGCTTTGATTGACTTTAAAATTTTTATATAGAAAGATCATGTTAATATAAGGTCTTCAGCAAAGTACTAAATTGCGCTTTCCAGGAAATCCCGAAAAAATCGAAATAAAAAATTACGTTTTGAATTTCCCGCCAAATTGGCATTGTGTTTCAAGCATATAACTTTGTCATTTTTTAAATTTTAATAATTTTTCTTTGATATCCTACTGGAAAACCTTTAAATGAGCCTACATTTTTAAATTTGTAAAGCTTGTCTGAAAAGCCGAAAAAAGTGCTTGAAACGCAATGCCAAATTTGTCTATATTGGCGGGAATTCAAATATTTAAATGTTAAAACTCAAAAGGGCGAGCTAAAATTTTTTATGGGCTGGTGGTACAAAGGATTCATATTCAAATTTTCAGCTGGTTCTGAGTCGGGCAGGTTGGGTACTTTCCTTGTTAATTTGCCTAAGGGCAAGTCTTAAAAAGTCATTTCAAAGAAGTTTTCAAAAAATCATTTAAAAGTCAATTCAAGTCTTTTTCTTACTTTTTTTCATTTTTTTCAATTTTTGGTGATTTAGGGCTTTGGAATTGGTCCATGGACCGGATTCTACACCTTTCCCTTGTGAACTGACCGATCCCAAAACAAAGTTGGTAGTTTTTTTTTCGGTGTGCCGTTTCTTAACCTTCTACCCTTTCTTTGCTTGGTTACCTGTGTTTAAAAATGGTTCTGTGTGAACTACCTTGACATTTTTAAGCTTTACTTAGGAGTACTGTAGGTACTGTAACTACTTGTGAGTATTGAGAGTACTGTAACTCCTTATGAGTACTGCAGGTACTGTAACTACTTATGAGTACTGTGAGTACAGTAACTATTATAGTTATGAGTACTGTGAATACTGTAACTATTATACTTATAAGTACTTTAAGTACTGTAATTATCTATGAGTACAGTGAGTACTGTAACTACTTATGAGTACTGTGAGTACTGTAACTATTATAGTTATGAGTACTGTGAATACTGTAACTATTATACTTATAAGTACTTTAAGTACTGTAGCTACTTATGAGTTCTGTAGGTACTGTAACTACTTATGAGTACTGTGAGTACTGTAACTATTATAGTTATGAGTACTGTGTATACTGTAACTATTATACTTATAAGTACTTTAAGTACTGTAATTATCGATGAGTACAGTGAGTACTGTAGCTTACTTATGAGTACTGTGTGTACTGTAACTATCATACTTAATTCACTTACTGTGAGTCCTGTAAAAAATTACGAGTACTGAGAGTACTGTAACTACTTATGAGTACTGTGTGTACTGTAACGACTTACGAGTACTGAGAGTACTGTAACTATTTATGAGTACTGTAGGTACCGTAACTACTTATGAGTACTGTGAGTAAAGTAACTACTTACAAGTACAGTAAGTACTGTAATTACTTACGAGTACCGTAAATACTGTAACTATGTGTTCTTTCTCTTGTCCAGCCTGTCCTTATTCTTTTCTGCTTGATATACGTACGTGCCCTTTTAAAATTGTTTTTTGAAATGAAATGAGTGTGTTTCATCACTACTATTGATTTTTCTACAGTATAACTTGAAATGTTGTTGGACTGCTTGATGTGGTTAACATATTAATCATGTTTTAATACTCACTATGACGCTTTTCAGGGATTTGCTAGCGGTCAAATGCACCGTCCGATTTAAACTGCCTGCTTGTGTTGGATTGGGCTCGTCAGGTAGGCTTTGGGCGTGGGAGGATGGGGTGGAATAAGGGAGATTAGTGTAAGATAAAGTAGGGTGGTGTAAAGTTGGTTTGTTAGGTAGGCCGGCGGAGTATGGTAGGGTAGGGCAAATTGGGGAAAAGTGGCGCTCGTCAGGTAGGGTTTCGGTGGGGTAGGGTAGAGTTGGTAAGGTAATGTTGGGCTCATCAAGTAGGCTTAAGGCTTATTTTCAAAAATTTTTAGGTTTGTGTAAAGTACAGTAGGATGACTTTAGGTAGGGTAGGGTAATTAGACACGAGGAACGGGCCGGGCCTACCATTGGATCAGACCGGACCGGCCTTGACGCAAATTTAAGTTGGATCGTGCTTGAAAGTCTAGGTCCAGCCCGGCCCGTTTGCACGTAAAAAAATTGGGCCGAGCCAGGCTTTAACAAAATTTAGGCTTGAAAAATGGGTGTGGCCTTTTCCTTATGTCTAGGGTAGGGTAGGGTGGGGTAGGGTAGGGTAGGGTAGGGTAGGGTAGGGTAGGGTAGGGTAGGGTAGGGTAGGGTAGGGTAGGGTAGGGTAAGGTAGGGTAGGATAGGGTAAGGCATGGTAGGATTGAAAATGTCATCCTTGTCTACTTTCAGGTGCTTTTTGTGTATGCATCGCAACCGCGCTGTTACAGACAGCCGGCTTAATCCCACCGCCTCACATTCAAGTCGATGATGAAGGTGCGTTGACCTGGGACGAAGTTCATTTGGACATGATTCGAAAATGGTCGGCAGCGGCCGAAAGTTTGATTCATGGCCGCGCTTCTGGCCTGGACGCTGCCATCTGCACTTATGGGGGTTTGGCGCTGTATAAACCGACCAAACGCATCGAAAACTTACAAAAGTAGGTTAATATTGGCTTGAAAGTGCAGTTTTGATGGTTATTTTACTGTAATTCTTTGTCTATTTTAGTGTGCCTGACCTGAAAGTGATCTTAGTCAACTCGAGGGTGGAGCGGAATACGACGCGTTTAGTACAGACGGTTCGAGATCGATTCAAAAAGGTATGACATTTTTTCTATTAGTTCGTTTACTTAATACTGCGCCCCTTAGAATGCCTTGCCCTTGCCCTTGCCCTTGCCCTTGCCCTTGCCCTTGCCCTTGCCCTTTCCCTTGCCTTGCCCTGGCCTTGCCCTGGCCTTGCCTTGGCCTTGCCCTTGCCCTTGTCTTGCCCTTGCTCTTGCTTTTTATGAAAATATCCAACCGCACAGTACCGTACACCACCTTTTACGAAAATACTGTAGCCTTTATCGTATACTACCGTACTCTTTCAGTTCCCCAAGGTGATTGACGGGATTCTGGAGTCAATTGATGCCATCTCACAAGAAGCGGCCCGAATTCTTCAGAGGCCGTTAAACGACGAGAATGGCTCACAAATTGTTGAAAATGGCGGCCGATCTGCTACTCTAACGCCTTCCTTCACCACCGAGCCTGAACACAACAGTCTACAGGTCAGTTTACTATAGTAATCACGTTATAATATAGGTTGTTTACTGTAATTTATGCTTTAATATATAATTTGACAAGTTTTACGTAAGCTGTAGTATAGTATAGATTAGGATATAGTTATGAATGTGTTCGTTTGTTACCTATTCGTCCGTTTTTTGTATTTTTAGGTAACAAAATTTAAAAAAATGTCATTTCATAGCGTTTTTAATTAAAAAAAATTGGTTTGCCATTAAAACAGACGTTTTTCAAGTTGTTTTGCTGTTTTATAACATACTTTGTAGTGATTTTACTTTACAATAACATTTTACAAAAATTTTTTTAAAATTTTTTTTTGATTTAAAAATTTTCAAATATGTGGGATGTAATTGTACTCAAATTGTTAAAAAATGACTTTTTGTCACTTTTGAAAGTTGTTTTAGCTATTTAAACTGACTTTTTATTTTGGCGGGAAAATTTGAATTCAAAATTTAACGCCAATTTTTTGACTGACTTTTTGAAGTAAATTTCACATTTTCTTGCATTTTTAATCATTTTTAGTACTATTTTGAAGATTTTGAGCTTAATTTTTCCAGCTTTTAATCATTTTCGACCGGTCGAAAATTCAAATTTCAAAAATCCCGCCAAAATTTATTTTCGAAAAATCAGGATAAAAATAAATTTTAAAAAATTCCTAACCATTCACAATGTATTGCACTGACCTGTTGTCCATGAAAAACTGTAACATTTTTAGCCGGTGAGTGTGGGCGGTCGTACGTCGAGCTTGTCGTCGTATGTGGCCGGTGGTAAGCGTGGTAGTACGGCGTCGGCCATCTCCTCTTCGTCGCAGGATCCGAAGATGTCGGCCGAAGCGCGAGAGTTGCAGCACACCTTCTCCAAACTGAATGTAAATGAGTTTTCTAACCTGCTTTTGATGTGTTTACTGTATGGGGTTACTGTATGGGCGTATGTACTCCTTTGATCGTATAACATGTCTTTTTTGAAATTTTTTTAAAATTTGAAATTGATTTGAAAAAAGCATTGCTTTGGGTGTGTATGCCACGCTTTAGTTGTCGTATAATCATTTTTATAAGCCAGCAAAGATGTTGTTATACCCATCAAAGCTACTACAATATACCAAATCCTATGGCTTGTGCGTAGAACCTTTACAAAAGTTTAAAATAGTTTAATCAGTAAAGAATTGACCTTTAGGACCTATGTCGAATCAACAATCAACTACTCATAGCCTTAGGCGTGGGACACGCCAAAGTTGATCAGATTTGCACGCTGCTCGGCCGATACGGTATCCATCCCAAAATGACTGGTGCGGGCGGTGGTGGCAGTGTTTTCGCGTTCTTGAAGCCAGGTAGGGCTTGGTTTTCATTATTATAGGGTTGGTTAGGGTAATATTTTATATTTATTATAGGGTAGGGCTGAAATGGGTGAACTTAGGCTAGGGTAGCGCTAAAATGGGCATGGCAAATTTGGCTTGAACTGAATTGAGGTGGGGTTGGCTTGGAGAGAGCACAAACGTGCAAGGGTCATCACAGTGACGGTTAGAATAGGGTAGGATACGGTAAAGCGCAATAGGGCACGTTCGTACTCGGTAGGGCTGAATACCGTACGGAATTGTAGGGTAGGGTAGGGTAGTAGGGTAGGGTAGGGTAGGGTAGTAGGGTAGGGTAGGGTAGGGTAGGGTAGGGTAGGGTAGGGTAGGGTAGGGTAGTTGGGTAGGGTGGGGTAGAGTAGGGTAGGGTAGGGAGATTACGATAGAATAGGAGTGCAGTTCACGTGTTTAAACAGAATGCCAAGATTGGCGGTAATCTAAAACTCAAATTTTCAGACACCTCCCAAACGGTCCTAAACATGATTCGCGAGGAGTTGTCGAAGGAGGGCTACGAGATGTGGCAACCCCCCTTGGGTGGGCCCGGTGTAATGTGCCATACCGTGAAGCCGGACCTGTTTTTCGCGGGCGGTGGCTCCACGGGCCCCTCCCAGACCAGTCGTTCCAACACACCAGCCGGCTCACACCAATCCACACCAGCCATCAAGCACAAGAAGTGAAGGCGGCCAATGGTTGACTAGCTCTTTCGTAGTTTTCTCTATTCGTAGTCTCGTATTTTGTAGAGTAGCCGGATTTGTGTCGTAACTGTAGATTCTAGTCCAGCTCTGTTTGGTTTATATTGTACTTGAGAGAGGGGGGGGTTTTAAGGTGGAAAGGGGGGGGGGATTTTAAGAGTGGTTTTTTTGTTAAAAAAGGCAATTTTAAGGCAGAAGTGGGGTGTTAAGGGCGGGTTTTTTGGCTAAAAAGAAAGGGGGAGGGGGGGGGGTTTCAAGACGATTTTAAGGCGAAAAAAGGCGTTTTAGGCCAATTTTTGGTGAAAAAAGGCTTTTTTAATGCATGCCCCTGCTTAGACAATACTCAAAAATGTAGCGTAATGCCATTTTCAGATCATACGCTTCACAAAAACGTTTAGAACAACCAGTTTTAAGGCCAATTTTTATCAAAAACTGGTTTCGAAGGGCAACTTTTGGTCAAAAAACTATTTTCTAAGCCACTCTTTGCTCAGAACATGCCCTGAAATGACTACTAGTGCCATTTCTAGACTACACGCTTTAAGACACTTTTAGAAAAATCACTTTTAAAAAAAAAATTTTTTTTTAAATTTAGTTTTCAAACAGTTTTTTATCTAAAAAAAGCTCTAAAAAACCTTATCAGTACAATATAAACCTAGTTTATCGTAGTAATTTCTTTTCGTATTCGTAGGAACGGCTGTGGCTCAACCTACCACATCATTTTATTATGATTTGGGCATCAAATCATATTAAAATTGAGCTGAAATCTACCTTTAAATGGCCCAAAACGTGCGCGGACGCTGTGAAATTTTTAAAGTTTAAAAATTTTAATTGAAATTTTGAAAAATTTAAAAATTTTTTTAATTTAATTAAATTTCAAAAAAAATTTAGAAATTTTAAAATTTTTTTAAAAATTTTTTTTGCCACGTCCTACAAAGCACTTGGGCCCAATTTAGCGTAGAATAGATGTAAGCCTACTATAATATAGTAAAACGTTCAACCGTAGCGACTAATATATAGACGTAAAGTTTGATATTGTCTCTCACCACTATTTTCCGTAACCAAAAATTGTTTTCAGAGTCTCCACCAATAATACAGTTTTATGTTATTTGTCTCGTTTTTTACTATTATAACTATAAATGTGTTTGGAATGATTGGCATTGTTGAATGGGGGAGGGGGGCAGTGGAGGAGGGGGGGGGGATTGCCATGTCTATCCTACAGGCCGAACGGCTTTGAGCTAAAGGTGCTAAAGTTGAGACGGGCCGGGCTTAAAAATTTGGTCGAGGTTTAATAATTTTTTTTATTTTAAATTTTTTTTAAAATTAAAATTTTTTTTTTGTTTTTTACAATCAATAAAGAATGTAAAAAATGCAAATAATTTTTTTTTATTTTTTGAATTTTAAATTTTAAAATTTTTTCAAATAAGCTGGGTCGTGCCGGATCAAAAAGTTGTTTAACTTGGCCAGACCAGCCTGAAAACAAACGTACCGGGCCTAAACGTTAGAGTTGGTCGGCTCAAAGTGAATTTGACCTTTCCTGTTGGTCTTCGTAAACTTGTAAAAGGATCAGGGTTGGGCCTGCTTTCAGGTCTAGTTGCGGAAAGGGCCCTTCAAGGCCTTGATTTAGAATTGGCCTTTGGGCTTTCTTTTACCGGCTGGGCCTTCTTCAACTTTGCTTTGACTTGGTTTGATATCAGTTTCAGTAAATATCTTTAAAATCAGATTTGTTTTACACTTTTTGCAAGCCAAATGTTTCGTTGCGGGACCTAAAAAATCTTTCGTTGCGGGACCTAAAAAATCTTTCGTTGCGGGACCTAAACTACGCTCATGGGACCTTAGTTTGGGCTTCTGTGGCACAGATGGGCCGCATCGGTTAATTTTAAATTTGCTTTGGCTCAGCCTAGTCTGTAGCCTAACCTAGTTTTCCCTCTTTCAGTTTTAGTTGTTTTTCTACCCCCGCCTCCCAGACCAGGTCCCACTGTCCCGGCCCTGATTGTGACGCCGGCGAAGTTAACGACTTTGTCATAAAACTAATTATGACTTTAATAAAAACGCTGTTATACTACGAAGCGAGGGAAAAGCGGGAGAATTCCGAGCTGATAAGTAAGTTTTAGTGTTTCTTTAAGCAAATATTATAATTTTTTTCTCTTTTTTTATATTTTGCTTTGCCTATATTATTATACATCTATATAAAATTGTTTTTTAAATTAAATTACAAAATAATTTTTTACTTTATTGCGTGCCGACATAAAGAACCCGCCATACTTTGCCTGTAATTTCCTGTAAAGAATGGCGGGTTCTTTATGTCGGCATCTAATATCTTGTTTTACATTATTGACCACTATTTTTTAAGTATTACTGAGTAAAGTAAACGAAGTTAAGAGTTAGAAACGTGTTTTAATAGAAACGAAGTGTCATTTAAGTTAAAATTGTACTTAAACTTTGAAAAAAAAATTAATTTTAGATTGTACTTTCAAAACAATTTTTACCATAGCAACCTGCAGTGACAGCGTTGTTAATATTTACAGAATTATAATATTAATATAATAGCTAGGCTTCAAAATGGGTAATCAAGCCTCAGCCTTACCCAAAGAACAGTTGGAGCGGCTACATCATGAAAGTGGACGTAAGTACTATAAAAAACTGTTTTATTTTTACTTTATATAGCAATTGTACTGACGGTTTGAAAGTACAGGCTACGCTTTAAAACCCCTCACTAAACTGGCCTGGTTCTTCATATTTAAACCGAGTTGAAAAAATTTTAAAACGAGCCAGTTCAGACCAGCTGAGGACCGAAAATCAATGAAAGCTCCAGCGGTTTTGTTTAGGCAGCGAAAGAGGAACTGAAAATACAATTACTAGGTCTGGACCGGTATTTAGCCGACTCGAACCAAAACAAATATGAAAGCAAGCCGGCCTGGATCGTGCAGGCTTTAAAGTCAAAACTAAGTTTAGGCCTGAACGGCCCGGCCAATATTTTTTGTCTACACCTGAAAGGGGGCTTACTAGGCCCAGTCCGAGACCAAACCGGACTAAGCTGAAGAAAGTTTAAAACGAGGCAAGCCAGGCCGGATTGTGTGGTATCACAGGCCGGATGTAACTAAAGGCTCTTGGGCGCAGCTTAGAAATGGCAATCAAAATTTGCAAAAGCGCTTACTAAACTTGAGCCTGTTCTGGGCCAAGGCGGTCCTGCCCAAACCAAATTTCAATAGTTTGGGCCAAGGCGGGCCTAGCTAAACCGGATTTCAAAAGTCTGGGCCAAGGCGGGCCTAGCCAAACCGGATTTCAAAAGTCTGGGCCAAGGCGGTTCTGGCCAAACCAAATTTCAAAAGACTGGGCCAAGGCGGGCCTAGCCAAACCGGATTTCAAAAGTCTGGGCCAAGGCGGGCCTAGCCAAACCGGATTTCAAAAGTCTGGGCCAAGCTTAGCGGTTATCTATGCTTTTTAATAATTTAAGAAACATTGTAGTTACAAAATCGAGCATAAAAATGTTGTATGAGAGGTTCGAAACGCTAGCCAAATTGAAAGATGACAACTTGAATCAATTGTTCTTGACGCCTGAAGACTTTGAGGAGATCCCGGAATTGCTACGAAATCCTCTTGGCTCTAGGCTTATTCAAGCCTTTTTTTGCGGCTGCTGAGTAAGTTTTTAGGATTGTTACCAATCTTTTACAGTAGGACGCTTGTACAGCGTACCACTGTGTCACAGGTTTTTTTTAATTTTTAAACTTAATATACACTTACTAACAAAAGAAAGGCAAATAGGGGAGGGGTATTGGACTAGAACTGAGACCTATATCATGTGAAAGAGCGTAAAAGTTATGTTTACTTATATTTACTTTACGTATGTTCAAGGTCCAGATGAAGCCCAACGGAGCTATCCTTGAGTCTGACGTTTCTCATAATTGGGCCTTTCCCCAGGTATTTCACTGTTCCTCAGTGAAATACCTGGGGTTATATTACTGTAACTTTTTAGTATATGAAACGGGGCAGCTAAAAATTTTAATTTTTACATAACTTTTCACGCTCTTTCAAATGATATAGGTCTCAGTTCTAGGTCCGATACCCCCCCCCCCCTATTTGCCTTTCCCTTGTAAATGATACCTCTATGTAATGTTTCAGTGCTCATCAGAGGCGTTTGTACTTCCGTGATTTTGTCAAAGTTTTGTCGCATTTTCGGCCAATCAACAAGAATCATCCACATCCATGGAATTCGCGCGAAGCCAAGTTAAGATGTAAGTTATAGGGTAGGGTAAGGTAGTGTAGGGTAGGGTACGGTAAGAAAAGATAACGCAAGATGAGGTAAGGTAGAGTAGGGTAGGGTAGGGTAGGGTAGGGTAGGAAACAAAAAAAAATTTAAAGTTAATATTCGTCTTTTTTAAAAACTCTTCAGCTTTACTTTGCAGTTGCCTTCACAATGTACGATGTCAACAAAAGCGGCACAATTACAAAAGACGAATTTGCTCACATTTTAGAGGTAAAATACGCATCTTTACGCCCTTGACCACAAAAGTTTGGTTTGAGAGGGGGCACAGAATTATTTATATTACTTATATTATTATATTATCTAATATTTCAAACGTTTCTGTAACTTACGCTACCCTACCCTACCGTACCCTACCCTACCCTACCCTACCCTACCCTACCCTACCCTACCCTACTCTACTACCCTGTTTTACCTCACCTTGCCTTACTATTCAAGCCGATCACAAACTGTTTTCTCTGCCCCACTCTACCCTATCATACCTTTATTTAACGTTCATCGCTTTACTGTACCCTGTCGTACCTTGCATTTTAAAGTCCTGTAAACCCGGTTTTTTATCTTTTCTTGCCTTATATTACTTGTAAAACACGAATTTCTACCTTACCCTACTCAATCTTACCTTACCCTTTACCTTGCCCTGCCTTTAAAACTGTTTTAAACTGAAACTACTGTATAACGAACAAATTTAAAACTGTCAAGCGATTTGTTATACAGTGGTACTACAGTAATTTGTAAAATTTTTCAAAAATCGTTGATAAAACAAGACTTTTTTGCAGAAAATGATTGGCGACAACGTGAGTAAGGCCAAAGTTGAAAGTATAGCGACCCGAACTATGCGGGAAGCGGACAAGAACTCGGACGGAAGCATCACGTTCGAAGAGTTTTGTAAAGTAAGCCATTATTAATATGCTTTGAAAATTTGTAGTGAATGAGGAAGTATTAAAAAGCTTTTACAATTGATAAAAAAACTTTTACAACTGATTTTTCCAACTGTTCAAACACGATAAAACATTTTTATTCACATACCAAGGCTAATATTATGTAAAGTTTAGCCTAAAAATCACTTTTTATTAAAATATTAGGTGACGACATAAAGAACCCGCCATACTTTGCCTGTAATTACGCTAATAATAATATTTAGGCAATGGAAAAGACGGATATTGAACAAAAAATGTCGTTTGTGTTTCTGAAGTGATCTTTACTTTACTTTACCTTGCACTTGTTTAAAAAATATTTGGGTGAATAAACCTGATATAACAAAATACGATGTGTACTTTGATATTTTATGTTTTAATTTGACTGCGCAAAAAAATGCATTTTTTATCAAAAGAATACTTTTTTTTAAATTTATCCAATCGTAATCCGCCGCACCCTACCCAACCCTACCCAACCCTACCCTACCCTATCTTACCCTACCCTACCCTACCCTATTCTATCCCACTTTACCCTGTCTTCCTCTACCTTATGCTAATCTATACTGAAGGCTCGACCCTGCTCTATTTTGCACTATTTTACCCTTACGCTACCTACCGTATCCTAGCTTACCCAACAGTATCAGTAGCGTGCTTAACCTTTGCCTTCCTTATTTTAAATTATCCTACAATACCGTATCCTGTCTTCTCCTAAGTTTACTCTACTCTAGTTTACGTTTTTTCACGCTACTTTTCTCTACTTTACCCTGTTCTACTCTACTTTACTTTCTCCTATTCCACTTTGCAATATTGTACTGTACTTTGCCCTACAGCTCTTTACTGTACCTCATTGTGCTTTACCTTACCCTCCACTGTTTTAGCCTACCCTTTTGTTTTACCCTATCTTAATCAAGTCCCTTTTTCAGACTAAAAATTTGGTTTTTACGACTGTCTGCATACCTAAAATTTCGCAAAACCGGAACGTGCCAAAACAACGTTTCTTGCGCGATTTTTGCAGTTTTTTCTCATTGCAACAATGAACAATTAATCACGAGTTTACAACAGTTGTTGGTCAGACAGATGACATTTTACCGTTTTTTACAGCCATTCATTATATCAGAATTCCTGCTTTGGTTTCAACGAAAATCCCCCTTCCTTCTTACAACGTTGTGCGTTGACGTTTGGCGGGGTGTGAGGAAAAGGGAAAAGAGGAGGAAGGGAGTTTACGTTTCTTCGTATAACTTGGCTTCTGCAAGCTGCAAAATTGAAATTTTTTAAAAAGTCGAAAATGGCAAGAACTTACTTTACAGATTAAAAAAAGGCAAGAACTTTCTTTACGAAGCGAAAAATGGCAAGAACTTTGTTTCCAAAACAAAAAATAGCGAAAACTTTGTTTACAAACTACAAAATAGCAAAAACGTCCTTTACAAATTAAAAAATGGCAAGAACTTTCTTTAAAAACGGAAAGGACTTTCTTTACAAGGCACAAAATAGCAAGAACTTTCTTTTCAAAATTTAAAATAACATTAACTTTCATTACAGGTTTGAACGTGACAAAAACTTTCTTTACAAAGTAAGAAATGACAAAAACTTTCTTTACAAAGTAAGAAATGACAAAAACTTTCTTTACAAAGTAAGAAATGACAAGAACTCTCTTTACAAAGTAAAAAACTGCAAGAACTTTCTTTACAAGACAAAAAATGGCAAGAACTTTCTTTACAAAACAAAAAATATAATTCATCATATAACATGTCACCCGCAGCCCGCAAAGCCTCAAAAAGTCACTATTATGCCATTAAAATGGCAAGAACATTCTTAACAAAACAAAAAATAGCAAGAACTTCCTTTACAAGACAAAAAATGACAAAAACTTTCTTTACAAATTAAGAAATGAAAAACACTTTCTTTACAATACAAAAAATAGCAAGAACTTTCTTTACAAATTAAGAAATGACAAGAACTTTCTTTACAACTCCTTAAGTAGCATAAAATTAAGTTTTTTCCAAATTTCAACAATTTTTGGGCCGAAAGAATTGTTAAAACGTCGTAAAAGGCACCCAAATAACTCAGAGTCGTCGATGGTTTCGTTGAAACCAAAAATCATGAGCCCCAACCCCAAGTGTAATGCAAGTCGCGGAGAAAGGGAAGGGAAGACTTATTAACCCGCCGTTGAAACCATCAAACGCTCATCAGGGCTGGAATATCCGACGGTTGGAAGCGGGGCGAGCTTCAGCAATGTTGCCAGTTCGAGTTTTCGACCGATTTTTTGCAAAATTCGGTTTTAAAGATCACTTTGAGTGGTATGGGGTGAGGAATATCAGCTTTTGGGTAGTGCAAACAAAGGTTTCGAAGTTTGGGTATGTTATTGTAAGGTAGGGTAAAGCATCTTAAGGCAGAGTAAGTCATGTTAATGTAGAGCAAGATAGGTTAAGGTAGGGTAAGGTAAAGTCAAAAATGGTACTGTAGAGTAAAATAGTGTAGGGTCAGGTAGAACTAGGTAGAGTATCGTACGGTGGGGATATAGTAGAGAACAGTATGTTAGAGCAGATTACATTGAAATATTGTCTTTTGTAAGGTAGGGCAAGGTAGAGTGGGTTAGGGCAGGATTGAGAAGACAGAGCAGTTACAAGAGGGCAAGGCACGGGAAGGCAGGGCACGAGGGGGCAGGAAAGGAAGCGAGAGAGCAGGATCGAGTACGTGAGATGAGAGCACAGAAGGGGCAGGGTAGGGTAGGGTAGGGTAGGGTAGGGTAGGGTAGGGTAGAGTAGGGTAGGGTAGGGTAGGGTAGGGTAGGGTAGGGTAGGGTAGGGTAGGGTAGGGTAGGGTAGGGTAGGGTAGGGTAGGGTAGGGTAGGGGTAGGGTAGGGTAGGGTAGGGTAGGGTAGGGTAGGGTAGGGTAGGGTAGGGTAGGGTAGGGTAGGGTAGGGTAGGGTAGGGTAGGGTAGGGTAGGGTAGGGTAGGGTAGGGTAGGGTAGGGTCAGTTGAAATCTTGTGTATTTTTATCGACTTTATGACATCATGATATCATATCAAGAAGCTAGGTGTATTGGTGATAATAATACAAGTGGAAGTTCATATGCATTTACATTAAGTTTGACCTTTTATTTAACGTAACGTTGTACATTTCTATCGTTATCATAGGGACATCTCAATATAACGTAATTTAAATTTTTTTTGAATTTTTATGGTATCTTATACAGTATATCACAATTCGAGCTAATGTATGTTTAAAAAACGTATCTTGCTAACCCATACCGCTTAGTATCCCCCACTCTTTCTAAATTATGGCGTGTCCTATGGGTTATGGAGTGCGGTTTTACGAGGGCGAGGCTGAGGACAACAATGAAGCTTCTCAATCCGGCGACAATCGAGGAAAGGCCGGAGGGTCTGGAGTGTCATATCAGGAGTATCTGCAGGTATGGTCAATGTAAAAATATTTTTCTAATTTTTTTTTGATTTTTAAAGTAAGTTCTTGCAATTTTTTGTTTTGTAAAGAAAGTTCTTGCCATTTTTTGTTTTGTAAAGAAAGTTTTTGCCATTTATTGTTCTGTAAAGAAAGTTCTTGCAATTTTTTGTTTTGTAAAGAAAGTTTTTGCTATTTATTGTTCTGTAAAGAAAGTTCTTGCAATTTCTAGCTAGACAAAGTTTTGGACGCACAACAGCTTCGTTCCGAAACTCACGGTCGCTTCACCGTGCCCGACGAACACCTCTTCATCATCACTCACCAGACATACGAACTCTGGTTCAAGCAAATCATCTACGACATCGACCATGTCCGCAACCTACTGGATCATAAGTACGTGGACGAGACCAAAACCCTACAGATCGTGTCGCTTCTGGAGCGCACCGTGCGCATCCTGAAGCTTCTCGTGGATCAGATGCTGATTCTGGAGACCATGTCACCGTTGGATTTTGTGGAATTCAGAAGTTATCTCACATCGTCCTCCGGCTTCCAGAGTCTTCAGTTCCGGCTGCTGGAGAACAAGCTGGGGATCGAGAGTCACAATCGGGTCAAGTATAACGCTCAGAATTATCGACAGGTATTTGAGGGAGCGAAGGATATCAACAGGTTGGAGAGCTCGGAGGAGGGCCCTTCTTTGTTCAGATTGATTGACGTGAGAGCGAAATTTAAAAATTTTTTTTATGAGCCTGCCGTTGCCCTTGCCCGTCCCCTCTATCCTACCTTGTTTTACTTTGCCTTGTGTTACCCTTCCCTACCGTACTCGACCATGCCTCACAATATCTTACCGTAACCTACTGTGCGCCACTACAAGCTACCGTAACCTACCCTACAAATCCCATTTTCAGCGTTGGCTAGCCAGAACGCCGGGAATTTTCGAAGAAGAACCAAACGAAAATATCGACCAGTCGAAGAACGACAACAGTGACTCGGACAGTCAGCCCATTGTGCAGGCTCGCAACAACTTCTGGAATCGCTATTTGGATGCGGTAAATCACTATCTGAGTGATTTGCATAAAGAAACGTTGACGGCCGAGACCGAAGACGAGAAGGAGCAGGCGTTGGCCGAGTATAACAAGACCAAACGTTCGTTTGACACTATCACTGATAACAAGATTTATCAAATCTTCTTGGACAAAAGTGGGTTGGAGCTTAGCTGTCAAAATTATTTTATTTTTTTTATTTTTTAAGCTGTTCAATAAATTCTGTGCTCGCTCTTTTCTTTCAAAGCGATTTTCCGTGTTATGGGGGGGGGGGGCACAGAATTTATTGAACAACATAAAACGGTGGAACAAATGATCAATGTGCCAACAAAGTAACAATACTATTAGATTGTATAATAAAGATTGAGCCACTAAACTTCAGAATTTCAGAAGAGCGTCGTCTGAGTCACGATGCGCTGAAAGGAGCTTTAATGATCTACTTCTACCGTGATATGCCCAGATTTTCACAGCCATACCAGATATTGACCTATCTTATGGACATTGACTCATTGCTTCAGAAATGGCGTTGTAAGTGCTTTACCGTACCGTACCGTACTGTACCGTACCCAACTCTTCCTATTCTACCCTAGCCTACCGTATCCTACCCTACCCTACCCTACCCTACCCTACCCTACCCTACCCTACTCTACCCTACCGTACCTTACCGTACCTTAACGTATCCTATCGTACCCCTATACCGTACCCTACCTAACCTCGTCTATCCTACCCTACCCTATCATGCACAACCTTACCTTGTCTTGCCACGTCCTGCTCTGGCGTGCCATACCCGTACCTTCCCGTGATTTGTCATGTTCTGCCATGCCTTACCCCTCCAGTAGGGCACGGCAGAACACTCTAAGCAACCCGAAGTTATCTTTTCTTATCTGGCATTACTCTACAATACCTTATCTCACCCTAGTTTACCGCGTTATACTCTACTATCTGCAGTACTCTACTTTACCCTACCTATCCTTATATAGTATTACCCTACCCCGCCTTATCCTGCTGTACTGTGCCATACCATATGTTACCTTATTCTTCGTTACATTTCCCACTTTTAGACAACCACGTGATGCTAGTACAACGTATGTTGGGTGCAAAACAAGGTACCGGAGGCAGTTCTGGCTACCTGTACTTGAGATCTACAGTATCCGACCGTTACAAGGTATTCCTCGACTTCTTCAACCTCTCGACCTGGTTGATTCCTCGAGCTTACATACCTAAACTGTCACCGAATATGGTCAAAACATTGTCCGAACACTCAAACCTAAACCAGTACAACTACTCGTCTAGATGAAGGATGTACTATAATATTGGGTAACATGTTGTGGGTATATTATGTTGAAGGTATAGCTGCTAGTTATTCATGTCTATACTAACTACTTGAATATGTTGTGTAGTGCATATGTGTACAAGTATTGTAGAATAAAAGTACAAAGGTTTTAAAACTTTGTTGAAAAGCAAAAATTGACCGTTAATAAGAATGGAAGTTTTGTGGAAGATTTGTAATGTATATTGCACTAAAAATCTTCCACCAAACTTCCATTTTTAAAATGTCTTTAAATTGCATAAAAACACGTTTTTAACACTTTTTAAAAGTAGAAGTTGAGTGGAAGATTTGTAATGTATTTTTGCACTGAAAATCTTCCACTCAACTTCCACTTTTCAAAAATTTCGAAATATTATTAAAACAGGTTTATTAATCGAATGTCTACAAATTTACGGTAATCTACTATTTCAAAGCTAAATATAAGTACAAAGTTACAGTATCTATGGCATCGCACTTATAGTACTGTATTTAATGTATCATACTTATAATACTGTATTTAATATATCATACTCATAATACAATAGTAAACTATTAAGCTTAGTACAAGTGGTTCTTAAGACAAGGCTCAGTACGAGTGATTCTCAGTACCAGCCTTAGTACGAGTGATTCTTGACGAACAAGGACTCAGCAGCAGCCGCCGCCTCATCTTCACCTTGATACTTGCCCAACTGAGCGTCGCCGTTGGCCTTTGACCGATGAAGGAAGACCTTCTGAGCGGCTTCAATGTTCGAATCCTTGCCTTGCCACGCCTTCAGCACGGATGCTTGGAGAGCACGACCGTACGAGAACGAGAGACGCCATGGCTTGGCCAAGTCGACCTGGTTTATGGCATTCAGATTCTTGGTGGCATCGATCTCGGATTGACCTCCGGACAGGAAGACAATACCTACAATAAAATTGTTTATGAAAAAAATACCCTACCCTACCCTACCCTACCCTAACTTATTGACTTACCAGGAACAGCAGCAGGCACGCCTCGTCTCAACGCAATAACCGTGGCCCTTCCCACCTCTTCTGGACTAGCCTTTTTGGAATGCGATTGGCCTGGAGTGACCATGTTTGGCTTCAACAAAGTTCCTTCCAAGAAGACGTGGTGATCAGCCAAGGCTTTGTAGGTATAAGCGAGGGTTTGTTCTGTTACCTAAATTTAAAATTTTTAAAATTTAAAAATTTTTAAATTAAAAATTTTTTAAAATTAAATTTTTTTTTAAATTTTTAAAAATCTTGTTAAAAATGCAATTTAAAAAATTTTTCTCTAGGATGGTGACACTGTTATTGCAAGCATCAAGGAGCGAGCAAAGAACCAACTCAAAATACATATTATATTAGCCAGCATATTAGGGTTTGATGATCAAAAAACGTTTTCATCATCATCTGAATCAAGCTATACGTAGTTTTAACAAAAGTTTGAATCTTTTTTTAAAAACAAATTTTTTTTTTATTTACAGTAAAACTCATGTAATATAACAAATCGACTTCCTAATACAAAAGTTCTAGCCCGGAGCCCTTCTATTCAAGAAATTTGAAAGAAGCCGGACCTAGCCGAATCGTACGGACTTAAAAGCCTAAATAACAGCCCTTAAGAGTTTATCTTAGGCCTCGTAACTAGCTCTGAAAGAGAATCCACCAGGCCTGGCTCAGTCTTAAGCCGGCCAAGTCAAAACAACTTTGAAAAAGCCGGGGCTGAGCTTAAATAAAGACCCCAAGAGCTACGCTTAGGTACCGAAACTAAACCTGAAAGCATCCACTAGGTGCCGACATAAAGAACCCGCCATACTTTTCTTGTAATTTCCTGTAAAAATGGCAGGTTCTTTATGTCGGCACCTAATATAGACATGAGAGACGGTCGACCTTGAGTAAAATTTAGATCGGGCCGGGCCTGAAAATTAAGCCCGGCGCGGCTGGATCAAAAAACTTTTAGGCTTGGCTTGGCCAGTTTTAAAAAATTCGTCTTTGAATTCATTTTTTACCCCTACAATTACCTTTTGACACCGCTCAATGTCATGTTCACCATCACACAACACTTCCGGCTCCACGATGGGTACGATGCCATTTTGTTGACAAATAGAAGCATAACGTGCCAGCACGTTGGCATTCTCTTGCAGTGCGACGTGAGATGGTACATGTTTGCCAATGTGGAGAACGCAACGCCATTTAGCGAAGTCACAACCGCCTTTCTTGAATTCGGCACAACGTTTGGCCAAATTGTCCAATCCCTGAGTGGTACCTTCGTTGATGGTACCAGCAAGTGGGACGACGCCAAGATCGAGCTTGATTCCTGGTACGGCGCCGGCTTTCTTGATCACATCGACAAAACGGTCTCCTTTGTCTGTTTTCTGTAAAGGAATTTTTTGTAAAGAAAGTTCTTACCATTTTCAATTTTGTAAAGAAAGTTTTTTCAAATTTTGTTTTGTAAAAAAAGTTCTTGCCATTTTTTGTTCTGTAAAGAAAGTTCTTGCTATTTTTTATTTTGTAAAGAAAGTTCTTGCTATTTTATGTTTTGTAAAGAAAGTCTTTGCCATTTTATGTTTTGTAAAGAAAGTTCTTGCCATTTTCAATCTTGTAAAGAAAGTTTTTTCAAATTTTGTTATGTAAAGAAAGTTCTTGCCATTTTTTGTTCTGTAAAGAAAGTTCTTGCTATTTTTTATTTTGTAAAGAAAGTTCTTGCCATTTTATGTTTTGTAAAAAAAGTTTTTGCCATTTTTTGTTTTTAAAGAAAGTTCTTGCCATTTTTTGTTTTCTAAACAAAGTTCTTGCTATTGTTTATTTTGTAAAGAAAGTTCTTACCTGGTGGAAGGTTTCTTCGTACAAGATGACTCCGCTGATGTGTTGGCCAAAGTTTGGTGTAGTGAACAAGAGTTGACGATACTTTTGCCTGTTCGTTTCGTTGTTCTCCAAGTTTACCGACGCCAAACGCTTTCCAATGGTACCTAAATTTAGAAAATGGTACCAAAATTAAAAAGTGGTACCTAAAGTTAAGAAAAGTACCTAAATTTGATAAATGGTACCAAAGTTTAAAAAATGGTACCTAATGTCAAAAAATGGTGCTTAAAATTAACAAATAGCACCAAACGTTAGAAATTGGTACCTAATGTTACAAATAGTACCACAGTTAACAAATGATACCTAAAGTTAAAAAATGGTGCTCAAAGTTAACAAATGGCACCAAAAGTTAAAAAAAATGGTACTTAAAGTTATAAAATAGTACCTAAACTTAATAATAGTATCTCAAATTAAAAAATGTTTTCTAAAGCTAACTAAAGCAAGCTTAACTTTCAATTTAAAATTTTTTAAAATTCTTTATAATTTTTAAATTTACCAGTTGATTCATCAGCGGCCAGAATTCCTTTGCCTGGTTGCATGATCTTGGCGGCGATCGCTGCCAATTCATCTTCTTGTTGTTTGCTTAAGGCTGGTTGATAAGATCCGCCGACTTCAGCCATTGTCACTAGTGTTTGTTACCTAAAAGTTGCCTTTGTTTATTTGAGAAGAAGCGGGTAATAGAGAAGAAAAGAAGAAACAGTGGGCAGCACGATTAAAAATTTTTAAAACTTTCCTACCCTATCCTACACTACCCTACATTACCCTACCCTACCTCGCCCTACCCTACCCTACCCTACCCTACCCTACCGTCAATACCCTACCCTATCCTACCCTCCCTACCCTACCTCATCTTGCGTTATCTTTTCTTATCGTACACTACCCTAACACGTCTTGTGCTACTCTAACACGCTCTGCCACATCCTATCCTACCCTGCTTCATCCTATCCCACCCTATTCTTCGATGCTCTACCTTCTCTTGTTTTGCCCTGACTTATCATACTCTATCGTTTCTTATTCTATCTTATCCATGCCTATATTACCCTACCCTATCCCTAAGTAATTGGTCATACAGGAACTTCACTGTATATTACTTCGCATATCAACTACCACTCCGCAACCCTCCCCAACAACAATAATGATGTGTTATTAATAGAAGGCCGGGAATGGGGAGAGACCCCCCGTCCTTGGGCAGTCACGAGGCAGCAAATGATCGCCGTCACCCACAAACAACACCAATATAAGGGCCGTTGATGGACTTTGGTCTTGTTTACGTTCGAAAGATAAAGTGACCTGCGACACTCGATGATAGGTCGACTATCAATAAGTCACTACGTTTCGAACCGTAATAATCGAAATGTTGAAATCGTTTCCAACGTCAAGGAGCATAGAACGCAATTTGTACGATCAGGGTTGTTGCTAGAAGGCAGTGTTTTGCCAGTCCGGGTGTGCATTTTTTGTCCGGTCCGAATTTTTCAAACCGGTCCGGTCCGGCTCTGCTTTTTTATGCATAGGCCTGGCCCAGTCTAGTCCGGACAAAAAAGACCGATTTTCATGTACATAGTTTGAGCATTAAAAAATGTTTAAAAATTAAAAAAAAAATTTTTAATTTTTTGAATTACACAAAGTAGACATAAGCAACGGGCCGGTCCTGACTAAAATCAAAAACGGATCGGGCCTGAAATTTAACCTTGGTCCGCGGGCCGGGCTTGAAAGTTGGGCCCGGCTTGTTGCTCATGTGTAACACAAAGTAGCGATGGGGAGGCCCTCAGAAAAAAAAATTCGAAAAAAGTTGAACGTGGCCCCCCTGTGGATTTTTGGAAAAAATGACTACCTGTGCCGGTTTGTTCGACTCCCACCCTCAGACCAAAAGTCCCCGCTGGGCCCTGGCTGCAATTGTAAAGCAAATTTTCAAAAAAAATTTTAATTTACAAAAATTTATAAAAACAACCTATCAGTCCCATGTGACTTTTTGAAAGAGAGCGGTCGTTTTTCACATCTTCTACTACATGCAGCACGTGCAATCACTGGATGACGTGGAACATGAACGTGAATGGAAGCTTCTCCATACGAGATTGAACGTGTACTTTTCTATGAAACAAAAATGCTAGTTTCCCACCGATCAATTGGTTGTAGCCGCTCGCGACGAAGTAGAGGCTACGCTGTTGCACTTAGAAGCGCTTCGAAGTACGATGAATGAGATGAAGAGTTCCTTCGAAGTACGATGAATAAGATGAAGAGTTCCTTCGAAGTACGATGAATAAGATGAAGAGAGATGGATACTTCGCTGTTGAAATTTGATCTATTTTTTACTAAAAAGTTGATTGAGTTTGTTAGAATAAAATTGTTTTATACTGTCTTATAAATCTTTCAATGTCTTATTGTAAACTCCTACCACGAAGTATTCCAAATGCTAAAATGTTTTGGCGTTCCGCACCAAACGAATTTATTATTTCGCGAAAAATTGAAGAATTTTTTCAAGTTTTCACGTATTATAGGAGAGTATATAGTTTTTTGATACCTAAATTGTGTTCGTCGGCTAGTCCTACCTTTTTTTCAATTCAAATTCTTAAACCTTTTTTTGTTTCCACGTAAAATGACTCGATCGTGCGGCTGTAAAGGAATTCGATTTTTTGCCTCGTGCAAAGACAGTGATCGTGTCAAGAGTTTACGGGAAAAGCCAGAAGATCAAACGTCAAAACTCTCGGATTATCTTGTTTATGTTTGCAAAGATGGAAAATGATATCATCGACCGGAATTGAGGCTGCAATCGACCGTCGAAGAGACCAAAGCAGCGACGAACGATGCTAAAGGTTCAGAGGACTTTTCTATTGATGGGATCAACTTGTTATTAGATTTTTTGGACGAGAATGAAGAACAAGACGTTGTTCAAGCAATTGACAAGAAGGAATGGGTTTTGTCTCAATCTGGACGGCGAAAACAAGTAAGTTTCTATAATATCTTAGTCATTACTTTGATGTTTAGGATTATGGCCCGAAAGTGAACTTTAAACACAAAAAAGTGAGGCCACAGTTTTACGAAGGCTTACCTGGATATGCAGACTTGATATTGGATAAGCTGAGGAGGATAAATAATGACAAGTATGGCAATTATCAACCATTTGAACTGTGCAACTTGGAATATAACCAGGAACGACAAAGTGGGATAGAACTGCACAAAGATGATATGAGGATATGGGGTAATAGATTAATAAGGTAAATAAATGTTTTTTATGTATATTTTTGTGGATCTTAAGCTTTGGATTTAAGTGTAACTTAAGATATATCCCTTGAATTATATACATTCAAGAAAAAGTCGGAACGAACGAGACGTTTTCCTGTCCACACCTTTTGGTGGCCCAATTTACCGTTAAAAAGTCCCCGAAAGTGACCTTAAAAAAAAAGTGGGAATTCCTGTCCGCCAAACCATTTGCGGGACAGAAAATACGTAAAAAATCCTACGAAAATATTGGTGGACAAGTTTTATTATAATCTCGTCCACGAAAATTTGCGATCATAAAATTATAAAAATTTTGTCCACGAAAAAAATATTTGGTGGACCAAAACCTCAAATTTAGTCCACCAAAATCTAACAATATTATTACTTTTTAACCTTAATATTATTGTAAATATTACAATGTTATAACGTATCTTCAACTTCCGAATACTTTTGGATGGTAACAGGTTTATTTGTCGCTATAAATAAAGTAATATAAAAAAGTAAAACCGCATTAAGTAAAACAACAATGAGAACAGTAACATAATCTAAAACAAACAGAAAAAAATGTGGAATAAACCGTAAACCGTAACATTATAGTAACAGTAATGATAACAACGAGAAATAGTAACAACGTAGTTAGTGAGTAAAAAGAGTAAGAATCTTAGTGCAAGAAACAATCTTAGTCAACAAAAAGCGGAATAAGTAAAAAACATCAATGTAATTAAGCGGGATCTTCGGGATTCAGATCGTCATCCAACACACGTTCTATGTCGAAGTATTGTGACTTCGTGTACAGGCTGGTCTCCTTGTGGGCGGCGCGCAAATACTCGATGTAGCGGTAAACAATAACATTGTTTTCTGTCTTGGGGACGGTGTGGCGGCCAACGAAACGACCTGTAGTAGAAAATATGTACATTGAAATTGAATAAAGTTCAAAAATAAAGGTTGAAACTTACAATCACGGTTTCCAACAAAGTAGACACCTCCGCAATTTGTAGGATACATCGCGCTGATCTGGTTCATAACAACGGATCTTTCAGCACGGGCGGTGATCATGAAACTTTCGTCTTTTTTGAAATGTAAAAGGCGACTGTGGCGGAGCGGTGAGCCAAACTGAACATCAGAGTGCAAGACATCCCAAGCGGTATCGTAAAACCACCTCCTCTGTATGAACTGTTTCAGCGACAGCCAGAATTCATCTTCAAGGTCCTCCAGATTGCTTGGAGCTAATATGAGCACGGAACGGATTGAATCTTCCATTTTTATCAATTCTCTCATGACGGTTGTTGAGCAATTGGCAAACTTAAAACAAAATGTAATAATTTAAACATTTAACTTACATAATGTGTGTCAATAACGGTGTAAAAGCAATGATTAACTAGCAATTCACTACCCCAATCACGTGTGCAAAGATCATTCAATGTGGTAATTAGCGGATTCTCTTCTTTTCCAACACCCAAAAACAAAGCTGCGGCTTTTAACATCCGTAGATGACACGGCTTTTGATGCTTAGCAATCAATTCGTCAAGGCGGAACGTTGTTTTACTGCAAATAGTGCAATTGTTTCATTAAACATTTTGATACAAACATAAAAACTATAAAATATGTGATAAAAATACCATTAAAACATACCAATATCTCATCAAGTTGAAGCAATCTGATAACAAAAAACGGTCGCTCCTGTAAAGGCTGCAAGACGTTGGCAATTCACGATAGTACTTGTACAAGAACATTGACATTTCGGAGCGGTTGTGGCGAAGAGTCTAAACATAAATGTTTAAAATATATATAACTCACTTCTAACAGTTCCGCAGCATTTCCGCTTTGTCGCTCTGACATGTCCAGGTATCTTTCTAGTTCGACCAGGCATTGCTTATGTCCATTTTCGAGAAGCGGAATTAAAGTTCTCCAGAATGTTGTTTTGTCCGCATTTTTCTCGTTATTTCAAATTTTCCTCGTCTCAACAGCTCGTGCTAATCTCAACAACAGCGGACCTTCTTTATCTGTGCGGAACGCTATGTACGCGTGGTGCTCAGCCAGTTTACAGGTTAATGCGGAAGCAAGGCGGCTTCTGATCTTGCCGCTGAGTGTTCTCGAGGCCGGTGTGTTTGGTGTAGTATCCGGAAAGAGAAGGCTTTTCATGCTGATGAGATCCATTACCTAAAATGTGAAAAAATTATAAAACATGAAGTGCAACTTACATTTTTTTGTGCGGTACGTATAGTTTGATGTGCAGTTTCCGATTTTCCGTGATTTAGCCACCCACACAACACTTTCTCACCCTTGTTGAGAACCGTAACAATGCAGCGAGCGGAAAGCAGGTCGAACTCAGCGTTGACAATTTTTCTTGTTCCATAAGTTTTGACGAACCAAGCGCGAAATGCTTCAACTCGATGTCTTCCATCCAAAACCTCTATGACTTTACCTTCAGCGGAATCCGAAATGTAGACCAAGATCGGGTTGTCTGCCAAATCAATTATTCCTTCTCTTTGGTACTGCTCCAGCAAGTGCAAACATTTTTCATCTAGTTTGTCTTCAATATCTTGGCGGGGAATATCAAAAATTGATATTTTTCTAGGTTCGGCATTTTTGATACATTCTGTAACGTTAAGAATGAAATACCTATTTTAAACATATATTAAAATTCATAAAAAAGATAATAAACTTTTAAACTCACTGAACATGTTGCTTTTAATAGAATCCAAATTTGGATTTACATCTATAAAATTCCTAACGTAATGTTGGCGGGAACGGCTTCCACGTCGTACATTCCATGCGGGAGGTGTCGCGGGAGAATCCGGTTGAGAACGTCCAAACTCTCCAGCTCCAGAGTCTGATGTGGTAGTTCTGCGCGAAGACGAGCTTGATTGGCTTATGGGCGGTGATCATACTGGTGGAGTCCCATTGTTGGTTCTCACGTCCCGATGAGCGGGAATGGGCGGCGAGTTTAACGGCGGTGTTGAGTTAATGTCTGGCACGGGCCCTTGAGCGGGAGTTGGCGGTATCTCCATTTCTAAAATCAGTTTAATATAAAAACAAAAAACATAAATTTACCCGCCAAAATTATCTAAAAAACACGGTTATGCATAAAAAAAGTAAAATATTTAAATCTAAAACAAAATCAGAAGTAAAAACATATAAAAAAACAGTAGGTCACTTTGCCAGTTCCAATCGTTTCGAGACAAAAAAAAGCGCGCGCGTTCGTTTCTTTTCCAATAAAAATTTGTTTTATTTATTTTCCTTTTCCGCCAAAAAAAGAAGAAATGCTTCCGCACGGGGATGAAGATTCTGAATTTGATGTTGTTGATTGTGTCCGCCGAATGGGAATGGAGCTACCGGTGAACTGGGCTGGAAATGCCGTGCTATATAGCGATATCAGAAGCGGAAATTCGAGGAAGAAGCAGGGTCAGGATTGCTTTACTATTTTTTCACTATTTTTCAAGTTTTTATTCCTTTAATATTATTTTTAGTAATTGCTTCCGTGTTAGAAGACTACCGCAAAGCAATCGAACCAAATTTACCCTCTCATCCGATCAGTACATTGCTCAACACCAACTATTATTGCTGCCACCGCTACTGTTCTTCGTTCTACACAATTCTGGATGTTATCAATGAACGTAACACAATGCCGCTCAACATAGAAGACCGCAAAACGTACATTACTCACAAAATAGCGTTTGAGAACAGCCGCCATGTTTTGAAGATAGCTAACGAAACAGTATGCCGAGTGTTTTACAGCGATGTATATTGTCTACCGAAGTCATTGTAAGTTTATATTGTTGGTTTAGTGATGTTTTTAGTGTTTACCAAAGCCAGAAAGCAATCAAGAATGGAAAAACTGTACCAAATGTAGACCTAAGAACGGTGTCGAAAGCGAAGCTTCACACCATAACCGCCAGAAGAGTCGAAGCCATTACAAAGTTCATTAAACTTCGACTTGAACCATCACCGATGTGTGGCAAATGCATGGTTCCTCTGCAGTTTTCCCGAAGAACATTTGTCATTTAGGCATTACAAGACGCCAATGATTCTACATTAATGCCGCTGTCTAAAAATGCTTTGGGAGATGCTGTTGTAGATTACGCACTTGACTTGGTAGAGAAGCATGGTTTTCCGCTTTCGTTCAAAAAAACGTCTTTACTACCGCGGTGTAACATTTGTTGCGAACTGACTAAAGTAAGTATAACTTTTTATAAAGTTTATTTTGCTTTTAGAATGTCAAAGAAATCCGTTTTATTGATGGTACTCCGTATAATGGCCGCCAACTTCTTGAAGCACATTATCAAAACACGAGTAATGACCGCAATGTAATAGACGCTTTTATGAACCAATCTATCAATTTTCCTCACGAACTTTTACTTTTGAAGTATGACGGTATGTCTGGACACAAAACATCGCTACCGTTCTTAGGAGACAGAATACCGAAGGCATTGAGTAATTGTAACAAAATTGTACCATTTCAACTAAACGCCTGCATTGTTGCAAGACATAGTAAGTGTTTTGTTTGGTGATTTACAATTACTTTCATTTTTTAGGGCATCTAAGCGCCACAAGTCAATCATTACGCGGATATGTCATTGGATTCTTTCATCCCGCTTCCGCTTGCAGTAGCTCTGTTTATTCTAATATTTTGTCCGTCTTATCAGAACTCGATGTACTTCCGCCAGTTATTGTTATCAACACAGACAACGCTCGTAGCAACAAGTCTAAATCAACAATACATTTTGCTCGGCTTTGCTGAAATTCTGTCCGAAAATATCCAAGATCATATTCTCGTTTCATGAAGCAGGCCACACTCATAATAATGTAAGTCTACATTTTAACTTTAAGTTTGTATTTTTGTTTGGTTTTTATTATAACAACTATTTTATTATAACTTAACCATTGTTATTTAGGTAGACGCTTTCTTTGGCTGTCTAGCGGAAAAGATGATTGGCCACCTCTTAGAAACCCCAGAAATGACTGAATTTGTCCGCAACGTTCGAGGAGTCAAAAGTATTTATGATTCTTATTGTTTATGGGATTTGTACATTGCTCCGGAAACCGCATTACTTGATGGAGTTTATAACTATCACTATTTTGAGATCTACCGAGCTGAAGATGGAATCCGCGCTAAATTCAAGCAATTTATTCGGTGCAATGACTACTTGAATTTGAACAAAATAAGACCATTGTATCCTGAAGACGCCGACCAATTTAGCCGCTTAATCTTAAAGGTAAGTCATCATAATAAGATACAATTGTAAAATTTTAGAAAGACGAGGAAATTGGAGAAGTTGGCTGTGAAACATACGTCATGAATAAGCAACAGCTCCGCCTCCAAAAGTTCAAAAAGGATATCATAAATTATTTGTCTGAAGACACCTTCAAGTCACTGCTAGATCACTTGGAAGCCGTTACCAATATGCCAGTTGAAAGTTTTTCCGAAACTTGTCGCAAAATTAATGAAAAAGTTGTTACTTTACCCGCCCCCATTGTTAAAGCATCCGACGAATGCAACGTCACGATTGAGAAGTTCAGGAAGTTGACAACCGCAAACAACGCAGAATCCGCAGAAGTAGAGGAACAACAGCTAGGCAATGAAGTAAAAGTTTTTTTCTCTTAATAATTTATGTTTTTTACCTCATTATCTAATTAGTAATAACTAATTTTTTAGGAAAACCTCATGCCTCCGCCAGCTGACGAACAAGAACTCGAACAATTACTAGATGAAGCACCAACGTTGCAAACTGTTCGCCGCACTACTACACTGTCCGCCGTTCCCGCTACATCGCAAGCTACTTCAGTATCTTCCCGTGGTCGCCGAATTGTTAAGCGCACGCGATTTTCACCTTCGAGATAACGCAAGTACTAACATTTTTGGTTTGTTGAATATTAGAATTTTGTTATTTGTTATTTGTACTCACCATCCATATATTTGTCTAGGTTTCGTATAAATTTTTGTAGAAAATATTGAATTTTTGGCATTTTATATATTATTATAAGTATCGTAAACTTATCTGTACCTAAATTCTGCGAAAAAAAATTTTTTTTTAAATTCCAATTTGGGGGACAGAATTTTGCGGTTTTTGTCCACGAAATCGTCACTCGAAAAAAGTGAGCAAATTCTGTCCACCAAATTGGAAATTTGGTTTTTTTTTTTGATTTTTTGTCCGCGAAATATTTCGGGGCCCGACCTCTTGTACGTTTGTCCCCGAAAAAAATTTGATTTTCAAAGTTGTTGATTCTTGTCCTCGCAAAGACAACAATCCACGATTCTTGCCCCAATTGGGCTCGAGACAGGAAAACGTCTCGTTCGTTCCGACTTTTTCTTGAATGTATATAATTCAAGGGATATATTGAGTTTGGGACATTAGAAGTCATGGTTAACATAATTTGTAGCAGTTAACGGTTTGTAAATAGCTTTGGTTACATGAGATGGGATATTTTTGATGTTCTTGATTACTTTGATTTGTTTTTTTGCTACTAACTTTTTAATTATCAACTTTTTTCTATAAACCATGGTTAATATAATTTTTCAGTTTGAACCTCTTGGATGGATCGATTATGTGTTTTGCACACGACGAAAAGAAGCCCTAGTGTTTCTACACATGCCAAGAAGGTCATTGTTGTGTTTCCGAGATGAAAGCCGCTTCATTTGGTCTCATGGCATCTTCCCCTGGCACATCAGTAGCCGGCGAATCGCGTTGACGATGCATGAGCCAAGTGAAACCTTTTAAGAAGGCGGCGAATTGTTTGAAAAGTACGGGAAGGAGTTGATAGAACGAGGAAATCGAAGGATACAAGGATAAAATGTTGTTTTAGCTTGATTTGTTATTATTTAGTTATGGTTAATATAGATTTTGATGTAAAATTGGTCTTTTTTGATTAATACTTTATGTTAATTTTAAAATCATACTTATATTATTGTAAAGTGCGTAAGTACAAACTGTTTCACGTTAAAACTCCCTGAGGTGAACTTCAATTAAGAGCGAAGTCCTATTTTGCGTTTTTCTTTCGGGATTTAACATGTCAAGGTCGTGTTAAAAGTTTCAATCCCAGTTTTTTACGGACTTTATCCTGGATTTGCGCCTAATCAATGGGTTTAAATTTATCTTGAAAACGTGCGAAGAGTAGAAGTTGAAATTGTATTGTACTTTTATGGAATGAAGCTTTTTCGATATTACTTTAGGTGATCAAGGGTGGTTTTAGGAAATTGGTCGTATCTTTTGATTTTGAAGTAAATTAGTGGTGATATTTATGGTGTTAAACAGCTAAAAGATTGTAAAACAGTATATGTTGATAGTAGGATTGAAATCGTATTGTACTTTTATGGAATGAAGCTTTTTCGATATTACTTTAGGTAATCAAGGGTGTTTTTAGGAAATTGGTCGTATCTTTTGATTTTGAAGTAAATTAGTGGTGATATTTATGGTGTTAAACAGCTAAAAGATTGTAAAACAGTATATGTTGATAGTAGGATTGAAATCGTATTGTACTTTTATGGAATGAAGCTTTTTCGATATTACTTTAGGTGATCAAGGGTGTTTTTAGGAAATTGGTCGTATCTTTTGATTTTGAAGTAAATTAGTGGTGATATTTATGGTGTTAAACAGCTAAAAGATTGTAAAACAGTATATGTTGATAGTAGGATTGAAATCGTATTGTACTTTTATGGAATGAAGCTTTTTCGATATTACTTTAGGTAATCAAGGGTGTTTTTAGGAAATTGGTCGTATCTTTTGATTTTGAAGTAAATTAGTGGTGATATTTATGGTGTTAAACAGCTAAAAGATTGTAAAACAGTATATGTTGATAGTAGGATTGAAATCGTATTGTACTTTTATGGAATGAAGCTTTTTCGATATTACTTTAGGTGATCAAGGGTGTTTTTAGGAAATTGGTCGTATCTTTTGATTTTGAAGTAAATTAGTAGTGATATTTATGGTGTTAAACAGCTAAAAGATTGTAAAACAGTATATGTTGATAGTAGGATTGAAATCGTATTGTACTTTTATGGAATGAAGCTTTTTCGATATTACTTTAGGTAATCAAGGGTGTTTTTAGGAAATTGGTCATATCTTTTGAATTCAAAATGAATTAGTGGAGGTTTTTGTGTTTTTTATTGAGGTAAAAGATTGCAAAGTAATATATGCTTATCGTAAAATAGAAATTATATTGCACTGCACCCGATAGATATGAGCAACGGGCCGGGCCTAACTTTCAGGCCTAGCCTGATCAGAAAGCTTCTAGGCCCGGCCAACGATAATCCCAGCAATATTTTCAGCACGAGCTCCACTTCCAGGACCTAAAAACCTTGATACTGGAAATGGAAAGTTCAAAGCCGAGCCGACCCTACTCATAGTCAACTATCCAGTCATGATTGTGGGTGACATTCATGGTCAATACAAAGATCTGGAACGTATGCTAGTCTTGCCCACGGCCAAGAACATTGAACTGGCGCAAGTTGCGAAGAGAGCAGGATTTCTGTTTGATTATGTTGATCGAGGACCTGCTGCTATACCTTTCTTGATCACGTTGATGCGGCTGAAAGTTAAACATCCGAGCAATGTGAGTTTTATGATTTTGTAAAGAACGTTTTTTCAATTTTTTAAAGAATGTTCTTGATGTTTTTTTTTGGGTTTGGAAAGCAATTCTTTGACGTTTTTTGTAAAGAAAGTTTCTGTCATTTTTTGGATTTGGAGAGAGTTTTTCGAGCTTTTGATGGTGAAACACAAGAAACGGGAATGTTATACGAGAAAACATGTATTATAATAAAATTTCCAAAAAGCCTATAAGCAACCGGACCGCGGTTTCAAAAACGCACAAAAATGTGCAAGTTTTAGCATCGCATACCGCACGTTTTTCATTTTCATATACGGCTTCATTTCAAATTTTTCATTCAGACTGGTTTGTTCCTTCCAAAGCTGGTGGTTGAGGTTTGAAGTTGAAAATGATTGCTTGGAAGTTGATTAAGAAGCTCAGGTATTTTTGTCACGAAGCGTGGTGCTTTACAGTATGGATTTTGAATGCATTCCGCTTATTATTTGTAAGTTTTACTCGCAATAAAGGTGTAAAGAAAGTTATTGTCATTCAAGGTTAGGCGCATTTTCTAAATGTTTTTTTTTGAATATACATCTGTCATAATGAAAGTTATTGCCATTTTTTGATTTTTCAGAGCTCATGTGTGGAACCGACTGAAAATGTAGAAAGCGGTGATGGCAGCGACGAGAACATTCAGGAACGTAACCTAGCTCTGCCCACAATCCAGAACGTTGAGTTTAGTGGACTATCGACAGGACCTGGCAACGCGAATAATCATGGTAGGGATCCGGACGAAGTTGTCAATCGTACCAAAAAATTTTGTGACCAAATTACGGTAAGAAGTTATATTTAACTTGTTTGGGGACAGCCATGAAGTTGGTGATATCCGCTCAAATGTTTTTCGGTACCTTTAGGATAGAATTTAGGCTTATTTTTGTGTTTTTGATCTTTATTACCTTTTTTCAGTTCCGAGGCAGCTTTCAAAGCTGACAACGAGACGGAAAAGTTTATTATTATGGCGAGCACTTGTACTACCGCTACTACAAAAACGTATATCGATGTGCCAAGTACTTTCGAACCCGGCCACGTTGCAAGGGGGAAGCGATGATAACAGAAGTGACCGATGGTGGATTTCAAGCCAAACTCGTCAAACCCCATACCTGCACTGAATCCGACGTTCAACCTTCAAATGACAAAAATTTGTAATTCACATGGTGTTACACTAACGTACAAATAAATACATTGACTTTACAACTTTGCTACTGTATGAATATTCTACTCTAAAACATGATCTTAAACTAATCATATAAATAGGCCAAACTAGTTTCCTCGGTAGGGGGAGTTCTAGCGGAGAATACCACCCCCCCCATTCTATTATCAACATTTAAATCAAATGGTGGATTTCAAGCCAAACTCGTCAAACCGCATACCTGCATTGAACATGTGTCAACCTTTAAATGACAAAAAATTTTGATTTACGTGATGTTACACTGACTGTACAAATAAATACATTGATTACAACTTTGCTATCCTATCATTATTCTTCTTCTCTAAACTATGATCTTAAACTAAGCATATAAATAGTCCAAACTAGTTTTCTCGGAGGGAGAGTTCTAGCGGAGAATCCCCCCGCCTTCCCCCCCCGTGCAAACCATTCCAAACGATCATATAACACGTCTATTATCAACAATTAAATTCAATAGCAGTTTATTGTGGTAAACACATAATCAATCCGTCATGCTGATGCTGTTTTTCATTTGCCCAATTTGCCACTTTTGTGTTTAGCCTTTTTGGTCGGCTTTACTTCCTTCTTCACTTCCTTAGGCTTAGGGGAGTCGTTTAACGAGGCTGAATTGGAATCATTGCCCTTCGTGTCTTCGGACCGATCCGGATTCGGAGGTCCTCCAATGTCTTCGGCTTGCTGAAGTTTGTCCAGATAACCAAACTTTTCTTTAAATTCCTTATCAGTACTGAGCTTGTCGCTTTTATTTGGGCCGAGGAATGCGAATCCCATCTCTTTCTTCTTGGTTATCACCATCACTGCTGCCTTACTGTCCTGAAAATGGTTAGTTTTTAGTTTTGTAAACAAAGTTCTTGCCATTTTTTGATTTGTAAAGAAAGTTTTCCATGTTTTTTATTGAAAACCGTATTTTAGCCATATTTAAAACCAAAAAGGTAAAATCCCAATTGCACCGTGCAGGATTCCAACTTTTTTTGCACTGTGTGGTTGATAGTATTTTTAGGTAACAAATGTTGCCATAACTTTTGCCCTGGTGTCATAAAAAGCTACTAAAACAATTTTTACTTCGATAGCATCAGAAAGAATAACAATATTTACAAAATGACTGCACCGTGCAAATAAAAAAAACTTACCAAAGCACAACGTGGGCACGAGAACACTGTAATCATCTTCACGCCTGCGAAAAACGAGTAGCCATTGTACATAACCTAAAAAATGTTCTATTATGTATCAAAACATACACTTTCTTACCGTACCCTACACTACCTCCCCCTACCTACTGTAAACTACCATACCTGATGAGCTAGTATAATAAAGTCCAAGTTCAGCCTTTTGCACGTATCCTGAACAGCCTTCTCACTGAAACAAACACTGACACCTCGGATGGTATTCGGCTCGAAATCAGTATTGATATGTTTTGAATCTGACCAAAGGAGATCGCCCGCCAATGGAACCGAGAAGATGTTGGAAAGTCCTCCAGGAAGATTTTCAGTGCAAAATACATTACAAATCTTCCACCAACTTCCATTCTTATTAACTGTCAATTTTTGTTTTTCAATTAAGTTATAAAACTTTATTTCGAACGTTTATTCTACAATACTTGTACACATATGCACTACACAACATATTCAAGTAGTTAGTATAGACATGAATAACTAGCAGCTATACCTTCAACATAATATACCCACAACATGTTACCCAATATTATAGTAGATTCTTCATCTAGACGAGTAGTTGTACTGGTTTAGGTTTGAGTGTTCGAACAATGTTTTGACCATATTCGGTGACAGTTTGGGTATGTATGCTCGGGGAATCAACCAGGTCGAGAGGTTGAAGAAGTCGAGGAATACCTTGTAACGGTCGGATACTGTAGATCTCAAGTACAGGTAGCCGGAACTACTACCCGTACCTTGTTTTGCACACAACATACATTGTACTAGCATCACGTGGTTGTCTAAAAGTATGATAATGTAAAGAAGAATAAGGTAACATATGGTATATATAGCACAGTACAGCAGGATAAGGCGGGGTAGGGTAATACTATATAAGAATAGGCAAGGTAAAGTAGAGTACTGCAGAGTAAGGTATAGTAGAGTATAACGCGGTAAACTGGGATGAGGTAAGGTATTGTAGAGTAAAGCCAGGTAAGAAAAGATAACTTCGGGGTGCTTAGAGTGTTCTGCCGTGCCGTACTGGAGGGGAGGGCACGGCAGAACATGACAGATCACGGGAAGGTACGGGTATGACACGCAAGAGCAGGACGTGGCAAGGCAAGGTAAAGTTGTGTATGATAGGGTAGGGTAGGATAGACGAGGTTAGGTAGGGTACGGTAGAGAACGGTGGTGCACGATAGGGTACAGTAGGGTAAGATAGGGTAAGATAGGGTAGGTTAGGGTAGGGTAGGGTAGGGTAGGGTAGGTTAGGGTAGGGTAGGGTAGGGTCGGGTCGGTTAGGGTAGGGTAGGGTCGGGTCGGGTCGGTTAGGGTAGGGTAAGGTAGGGTAGGGTAGGGTAGGGTAGGGTAGGGTAGGGTAGGGTAGGGTAGGGTAGGGTAGGGTAGGGTAGGGTAAGGTAGGGTAGGAAGCCTAAAGTTTTTTGCTGGACCTAAAATTTTTGGTTGCCGAGCTTAGTATATTACAATTTTAAGCTTAAATTTGTGTGTTTCGTATGAACATGCGTAATAAGTCTAAGACTTTGAGTTGTTACGCCTAAACTTATTGGATGAGCCTAAGACTTGTTGTAAATTAAAAAATGGCAAGAACTTTTTTTACAAAACAAAAAGGGCAAAAACTTTCAGTAAAAAACAAAATATGGCAAGAACTTTGTTTACACATTAAAAAATCGCGAATACTTTCTTTACAACTAAAATCAAACTAATAACAGCACTATTTTCAGCCCGAACTCCACTTCCAGGACCTAAAGACCTTGATACTGGAATGTACGGAAAAGTTCAAAGCCGAGCCGACCCTACTCAAAGTCAACTATCCAGTCATGATTGTGGGTGAGATTCATGGTCAATACAAAGATCTGGAACGTATTCTAGCTCTGCCTACGGCCAAGGACGCTGACGTGGCGCAAAATGTGAAGAGAATATTATTTCTGGGTAACTATGTGGATCGAGGATCAGCTTCTATACCGTGTTTGATCACTTTGATGCGACTGAAGGTTAAACATCCTAAACGTGTGGGTTTTTTAGTTTTGTGCTTTGTAAGGAAAGTTATTGCTATTTTTTGTTTTGTGAAGGAAATTTGTGTCATTTTTTGTTTTGTAAAGAAAGTTCTTGTCATCTCATGTTTTGTAAAGAAATTTATTTTTATTGCACTGTGCAATATTTTATTTTTTTGCACGGTGCAGCAAATTTTGCTTTTTACACTGTGCGAATTGTGAATTTTTTAGGTAAGAAATGTTCTTCTATATTTTAGACTAGACTAATAAAAAGTTCTTGAAACACGTTTTACATGTAGGGCATGAAAAAGAATGGTACAATGAAATTTTTAAAAATGACTGCACCGTGCAATTCAAAAGTTGCTTTGCACTGTGCAGGTGAATTGTAATTTTTTGCCGTTTTTACTTTGTAAAGAAAGTTTTTGTTATTTTATGTTTTGTAAATAAGGTTTTTGCTATTTTCTGCCTTGTAAAGAAAGTTCTTTCAATATAAGGCTAAAAATTTTTTTTTCAGTACGGCCTACTCGGTGGTAAGCACGAAGCAGAAGCCATGAACGGTGGGCGCTACGGCTTCAAAGCGGAACTAGCCGAACGATACAAGAGGATCGGAGAACAAAATGCATTGTTTCGACTGATAAATGACATGTTCGCTTACTTACCATTGGCCGCGTTGGTTGGGAAGCGGATTCTGTGTATGCACGGTGGCATCTCACCTCATTTGACTTCGCTTGAGGCTATTGATCAGGTAATTGGTATTTTAAAGTTATGGAAAGAATGTTTTTGCAATTTTTCTTTTTGTAGTGGAAGTTCTTCTTGTTTTTTGCCTTGTAAACAAAGTTTTTGTTTTTTTAGATAAAACGACCGATTTCCAACATCTTCTCGTTTCCATTGGCGGGCGATCTCCTTTGTTCGGACCCAAGATATATCGATACTGATTTCCGGCCAAATACTATCCAACGTGCCAGTTTCTGTTTCAGTGAGAAGGCTGTTCAGGATACGTGCAAAAGACTGAACTTGGACTTTATTATACTAGCTCATCAGGTATGGTAGTTTACAGTAGGTAGGGGGAGGTAGTGTAGGGTACGGTAAGAAAGTGTATGTTTTGATAAGATGATTACAGTGTTCTCGTGCCCACGTTGTGCTCTGGTAAGCTTTTTTTATTTGCACGGTGCAGTCATTTTGTAAAAATTTATTGTGTCATTCTTTCTTATGCTACCGAAGTAAAAACTGTTTGAGTAGCCTTTTATGACAGCAGCGGCAAAATTTATGACAACATTTGTTATCTAAAATACACTATCAATCGCACAGTCCAAAAAAAAGGTGGAATCCTGCACGGTGCAATTGGGATTTTACCTTTTTTGGTTTTTAATATGGCTAAAATACGGTTTTTAATATAAACATGGAAAACTTTTTTTTTACAAATAAAAAAATGGCAAAAACTTTGTTTACGAAACTAAAAACTAACCATTTTCAGGACAGTAAGGCAGCAGTGATGGTGATAACCAAGAAGAAAGAGATGGGATTCGCATTCCTCGGCCCAAATAAAAGCGACAAGCTCAGTACTGATAAGGAATTTAAAGAAAAGTTTGGTTATCTGGACAAACTTCAGCAAGCCGAAGACATTGGAAGACCTCCGAATCCGGATCGGTCCGAAGACACGAAGGGCAATGATTCCAATTCAGCCTCGTTAAACGACTCCTTTAAGCCTAAAGAGGTGAAGAAGGTAGTTTATACTATAGAAAAACTGTATAATTAACTTAAATATTTATTACTGTAGTCGAAGGTATAAGACTGGTGAAGAAGGTAGTTTATCCTATAGGAAAACTGTATAATTAACTTAAATATTTATTATGGTAGTTGAAGGTATAAGACTGGTGAAGAAGGTAGTTCATCCTATAGAAAAACTGTAAATATAATTTAAATGTATATTATGGTAGTTGAAGGTATAAGACTGGTGAAGAAGGTAGTTTATCCTATAGAAAAACTGTATAATTAACTTAAATATTTATTATGGTAGTTGAAGGTATAAGACTGGTGAAGAAGGTAGTTTATCCTATAGAAAAACTGTAAATATAATTCAATTGTATATTATGGTAGTTGAAGGTATAAGACTAATGAAGAAGGTAGTTTATCTTATAGAAAAACTGTATAATTAACTTAAATATTTATTATGGTAGTTGAAGGTATAAGACTGGTGAAGAAGGTAGTTTATCCTATAGAAAAACTGTAAATATAATTTAAATGTATATTATGGTAGTTGAAAGTATAAGACTGGTTAAGAAGGTAGTTTATCCTATAGAAAAACTGTAAATATAATTTTAAATGTATGGTAGTTGAAGGTATAAGACTGGTGAAGAAGGTAGTTTATCCTATAGAAAAAACTGTAAATATATTTTAAATGTGTGGTAGTTGAAGGTATAACACTGGTGAAGAAGGTAGTTTATCCTATAGAAAAACTGTAAATATAATTTAAATGTACATTATGGTAGTTGAAGGTATAAGACTGGTGAAGAAGGTAGTTTATCCTATAGAAAAACTGTATAATTAACTTAAATGTATATTATGGTAGTTGAAGGTATAAGACTGGTGAAGAAGGTAGTTTATCCTATAGAAAAACTGTATAATTAACTTAAATATTTATTATGGTAGTTGAAGGTATAAGACTGGTGAAGAAGGTAGTTTATCCTATAGAAAAACTGTATAATTAACTTAAATATTTATTATGGTAGTTGAAGGTATAAGACTGGTGAAGAAGGTAGTTTATCCTATAGAAAAACTGTAAATATAATTTAAATGTATGGTAGTTGAAGGTATAAGACTGGTGAAGAAGGTAGTTTATCCTATAGAAAAACTTTAAATATAATTTAAATGTACATTATGGTAGTTGAAGGTATAAGACTGGTGAAGAAGGTAGTTTATCCTATAGAAAAACTGTATAATTAACTTAAATGTATATTATGGTAGTTGAAGGTATAAGACTGGTGAAGAAGGTAGTTTATCCTATAGAAAAACTGTATAGTTAACTTAAATGTATATTATGGTAGTTGAAGGTATAAGACTGGTGAAGAAGGTAGTTTATCCTATAGAAAAACTGTAAATATAATTTAAATGTATGGTAGTTGAAGGTATAAGACTGGTGAAGAAGGTAGTTTATCCTATAGAAAAACTGTAAATATAATTTAAATGTACATTATGGTAGTTGAAGGTATAAGACTGGTGAAGAAGGTAGTTTATCCTATAGAAAAACTGTATAATTAACTTAAATGTATATTATGGTAGTTGAAGGTATAAGACTGGTGAAGAAGGTAGTTTATCCTATAGAAAAACTGTAAATATAATTTAAATGTATATTATGGTAGTTGAAGGTATAAGACTGGTGAAGAAGGTAGTTTATCCTATAGAAAAACTGTATAATTAACTTAAATATTTATTATGGTAGTTGAAGGTATAAGACTGGTGAAGAAGGTAGTTTATCCTATAGAAAAACTGTAAATATAATTTAAATGTATATTATGGTAGTTGAAGGTATAAGACTGATGAAGAAGGTAGTTTATTCTATAGAAAAACTGTATAATTAACTTAAATGTATATTATGGTAGTTGAAGGTATAAGACTGGTGAAGAAGGTAGTTTATCCTATAGAAAAACTGTATAATTAACTTAAATGTATATTATGGTAGTTGAAGGTATAAGACTAATGAAGAAGGTAGTTTATCTTATAGAAAAACTGTATAATTAACTTAAATATTTATTATGGTAGTTGAAGGTATAAGACTGGTGAAGAAGGTAGTTTATCCTATAGAAAAACTGTAAATATAATTTAAATGTATATTATGGTAGTTGAAAGTATAAGACTGGTTAAGAAGGTAGTTTATACTATAGAAAAACTGTAAATATAATTTTAAATGTATGGTAGTTGAAGGTATAAGACTGGTGAAGAAGGTAGTTTATCCTATAGAAAAACTGTAAATATATTTTAAATGTGTGGTAGTTGAAGGTATAAGACTGGTGAAGAAGGTAGTTTACCCTATAGAAAAACTGTAAATATAATTTAAATGTATATTATGGTAGTTGAAAGTATAAGACTGGTGAAGAAGGTAGTTTATCCTATAGAAAAACTGTAAATATAATTTAAATGTATGGTAGTTGAAGGTATAAGACTGGTGAAGAAGGTAGTTTATCCTATAGAAAAACTGTATAGTTAACTTAAATGTATATTATGGTAGTTGAAGGTATAAGACTGGTGAAGAAGGTAGTTTATTCTATAGAAAAACTGTATAATTAACTTAAATATTTATTATGGTAGTTGAAGGTATAAGACTGGTGAAGAAGGTAGTTCATCCTATAGAAAAACTGTAAATATAATTTAAATGTATGGTAGTTGAAGGTATAAGACTGGTGAAGAAGGTAGTTTATCCTATAGAAAAACTGTATAGTTAACTTAAATTTATATTATGGTAGTTGAAGGTATAAGACTGGTGAAGAAGGTAGTTTATCCTATAGAAAAACTGTAAATATAATTTAAATGTATGGTAGTTGAAGGTATAAGACTGGTGAAGAAGGTAGTTTATCCTATAGAAAAACTGTATAGTTAACTTAAATGTATATTATGGTAGTTGAAGGTATAAGACTGGTGAAGAAGGTAGTTTATTCTATAGAAAAACTGTATAATTAACTTAAATGTATATTATGGTAGTTGAAGGTATAAGACTGGTGAAGAAGGTAGTTTCATCCTATAGAAAAACTGTAAATATAATTTAAATGTATGGTAGTTGAAGGTATAAGACTGGTGAAGAAGGTAGTTTATCCTATAGAAAAACTGTATAGTTAACTTAAATTTATATTATGGTAGTTGAAGGTATAAGACTGGTGAAGAAGGTAGTTTATCCTATAGAAAAACTGTAAATATAATTTAAATGTATGGTAGTTGAAGGTATAAGACTGGTGAAGAAGGTAGTTTATCCTATAGAAAAACTGTAAATATAATTTAAATGTATGGTAGTTGAAGGTATAAGACTGGTGAAGAAGGTAGTTTATCCTATAGAAAAACTGTAAATATAATTTAAATGTACATTATGGTAGTTGAAGGTATAAGACTGGTGAAGAAGGTAGTTTATCCTATAGAAAAACTGTATAATTAACTTAAATGTATATTATGGTAGTTGAAGGTATAAGACTGGTGAAGAAGGTAGTTTATCCTATAGAAAAACTGTATAGTTAACTTAAATGTATATTATGGTAGTTGAAGGTATAAGACTGGTGAAGAAGGTAGTTTATTCTATAGAAAAACTGTATAATTAACTTAAATATTTATTATGGTAGTTGAAGGTATAAGACTGGTGAAGAAGGTAGTTCATCCTATAGAAAAACTGTAAATATAATTTAAATGTATGGTAGTTGAAGGTATAAGACTGGTGAAGAAGGTAGTTTATCCTATAGAAAAACTGTATAGTTAACTTAAATTTATATTATGGTAGTTGAAGGTATAAGACTGGTGAAGAAGGTAGTTTATCCTATAGAAAAACTGTAAATATAATTTAAATGTATGGTAGTTGAAGGTATAAGACTGGTGAAGAAGGTAGTTTATCCTATAGAAAAACTGTAAATATATTTTAAATGTGTGGTAGTTGAAGGTATAAGACTGGTGAAGAAGGTAGTTTACCCTATAGAAAAACTGTAAATATAATTTAAATGTATATTATGGTAGTTGAAAGTATAAGACTGGTGAAGAAGGTAGTTTATCCTATAGAAAAACTGTAAATATAATTTAAATGTATGGTAGTTGAAGGTATAAGACTGGTGAAGAAGGTAGTTTATCCTATAGAAAAACTGTAAATATATTTTAAATGTGTGGTAGTTGAAGGTATAAGACTGGTGAAGAAGGTAGTTTACCCTATAGAAAAACTGTAAATATAATTTAAATGTATGGTAGTTGAAGGTATAAGACTGGTGAAGAAGGTAGTTTATCCTATAGAAAAACTGTAAATATAATTTAAATGTACATTATGGTAGTTGAAGGTATAAGACTGGTGAAGAAGGTAGTTTATCCTATAGAAAAACTGTAAATATAATTTAAATGTATGGTAGTTGAAGGTATAAGACTGGTGAAGAAGGTAGTTTATCCTATAGAAAAACTGTAAATATAATTTAAATGTATGGTAGTTGAAGGTATAAGACTGGTGAAGAAGGTAGTTTATCCTATAGAAAAACTGTATAGTTAACTTAAATGTATATTATGGTAGTTGAAGGTATAAGACTGGTGAAGAAGGTAGTTTATCCTATAGAAAAACTGTAAAGATAATTTAAATGTATGGTAGTTGAAGGTATAAGACTGGTGAAGAAGGTAGTTTATCCTATAGAAAAACTGTAAATATAATTTAAATGTATGGTAGTTGAAGGTATAAGACTGGTGAAGAAGGTAGTTTATCCTATAGAAAAACTGTATAGTTAACTTAAATGTATATTATGGTAGTTGAAGGTATAAGACTGGTGAAGAAGGTAGTTTATCCTATAGAAAAACTGTAAATATAATTTAAATGTATGGTAGTTGAAGGTATAAGACTGGTGAAGAAGGTAGTTTATCCTATAGAAAAACTGTAAATATAATTTAAATGTATGGTAGTTGAAGGTATAAGACTGGTGAAGAAGGTAGTTTATCCTATAGAAAAACTGTAAATATAATTTAAATGTATGGTAGTTGAAGGTATAAGACTGGTGAAGAAGGTAGTTTATCCTATAGAAAAACTGTATAGTTAAC